CAAACCATGCTGGAACCTGACGTAACTGTTGCTGATCTTGCAGCATCCACATCAAGGACAGACGATCGCCTTCTAAAGTAGACGGAACGGACGAGTAGTAGAGTGAAGAGCTTGTGTGGTAATAGTATGTCTAAGGGTACCTGGTTTCATGGAAATTAGAACATCAAGGTCCACGCTTGTGATGTCCTCGGTCTGGAGCCGGAGGCCAAGTCTGGACGAAATGGCCGATGAAATACCTATCCAAACCGGGAACAACTGAACATTGACCTGAGGGTCTGTACCATGTCAACTTTTTAATCAAACCCAAAACTGAAGAGTCATTTGCGATGCGTCTCGACCGGGTCTGTTTGGTGACATAGGGCTGAAGCTCTTCAGGTCGCTGCTCTAGAGATATTGCTCGCAAAAAAAAAAAAAAAAAAAAAAAAAAAAAAAAACCACCCAACATCTTCGCCACGACGACGACGACGACGACGACGACGACGGACTGAAGACTTAAAAGGACCACTGGGGCCAGTTACAGGGGCTGCACGGCGCGCATGTGCCGTGATCTTGTTCTTCTCAACAAAGGCGAGGAGCTGAAAGGGTCTTCCCCACATTCGCAGTAAAAGACGCTAGGTCCGTCGTCCAGGACAAAATAACATGGACTGCAGCCGGACCAGATCAGATCACCAGAACCATGCCATCGCTGTAAAGACCAAGACGGTATTATTTCCTCTTACTACCTTCTTCTCATTCGTTACTTTGGTCATTCATAGTCCCCAGTGGGTGTTTACAGCCCTACGAACTAGTGACCATCTTGTCAATTTGCCGTTGACGTTGTGCTCTGGAGTCCCCGTTTATTTGTCCTGGACTAGGGTGGAAACTCTTCAGAATGGCGGCGGGCTTGTTCACATGGTAAACAACTCTAAAACACCCAACCGTGGAATTGTCAGCTCACCATTGCCAGTCGCAACACAAGAAGTGTTCTTTTGTGGTCCTTCTACCGTATACCTACGTCAATGGACGAGTTAACAGATTAGTAATTACACCTCAGATTCTTGTGCCTCGTAGGCAATGTCTCAGTTGCTGTTCTTCTCCTGCACCAAGTCCACAACAGATGTCTTTCTTGACATCCTTGCAGTGACTGACGTAGATGCCTGCCGGCGCACACTTGCCAGTCTCTTCCACCACACATTGGTGTTTTATCGTGTGATAGTGTCCGTTAGATTCTGTACTGGTGGTGAAAGAGAGGATTGAGAATATTGAATGTTTCACGGGACTATTTACCTTTCCAGACCCTGCAAACTCTGACCTCTTTTAGCTCATAGCTTGTTTATCAAAGCCAGGGGGTAAACGGCGCCCACCTCAAGTTTTTTTTTTTTTTTTTTTTTTTTTTTTTTTTACTTGCACCCCGCCACCACGGCACATTCCATTGTCTTGAAATTTCAGTGACCACCTCTACTTTTCTGGTGTTTCTGAAACAGTGAATCCCGTATTTCAGCGGTCACCTCTTTCTGCTTTCTCGGATACGTCCAAGAGCTGCAACGTGAAAGTTGTCGATCGCGGCATCCAAGTCAGAGACCAAGACCAGACTAAAAAAGATCCTGGACAGCGTTGTCTCCGCACGGGAAGGAACGAAGAGCGGCTTGGAGGGACGGACGGTCGGTGACAAGCCCACTCCCCAGTTTGGGACCCCGAATGGCAACCAAGTGGGCAAAGCCTTCCCCATAGGTGGTGCTCTTTTGGGAACTGACGGAACAATTCAGCCCACCCCCCCTCACCTCCGCTGTCGCTGTCGCAACGCCCTTTCCATTGGTCTCCCTGCGAGAAGGCGGTCTCCTATTCACCATCCAAGCGGCTTCTGCCTATCAAATCGAACAGTCCAAAGGGCAAGCAAGGAGTGAGGTGCTGAGTGAGCTGGGCAATTCGGGCATCTTCCAGTCTCTCTTACAGTTCGTCAGGCGGTTTGAGGTTGTGGTCTTCGTAAGACATGCCGATACCGTGACATCCATCTCGGCATTACAAAGATTGATAACACCACCACGGCCAACACACACACACACATACACACAGCGCTCAGCATTCTTTCAGTCCCAGTCAGCCACCCAGAGTCTTCTCTCCACAAACACCAACCTTCCAGCCGGGCTGTACTTATAATAAGAAGAAGCTTGCACTCTTCCAACCCTTGCTTGTTTCTACACCGTAACAGCCCGATTGATTCCCTTGCAGACTGCCAATATTGGGTATCGCCTACGCACCGCTTCGTGTTGCGCACACCCAGGTTGGACGACATGATGGCTCCTCATGCATGGGCCACAGGCCCTCGAAAGAGATCGCGGGAGGACGATTATGCAGACGCCGCAATGGGAGGGGTATCAGGCTTCTCTGAGCACCGAACTGTAAGCCGCTTTCTTTCGCTTCGGTCAAGGGTCATCTCACCCGACGTCTTCTTCTATATATCTGCCCCGCCTTGCCTCGCCCGACTTTTGCTGTCAACCTTCCTTTATCCGAGACCGTCATATCATCTGCCTTCGATACTTGGGATGCTAACACCCGCTCCAGAAACGCCAACAAATATTGCCTGTTCGGACATCACCCACTGCCAAAAGATGGACGTCCACACCGAGTTTTCCGCAAGAGGACCCACAGCCCGTCGTCTCGGGCTACCAGTACTATGGGGCACCGGACATCTCAGATCATAATGACCCTGCGGTCACAGAGCAGCACGTATGGGCGGCCGAGCCGGAGCTACCGTCAAATTACAGCCCGGACAGCATGGACATGGAAATGATGGACTGCGAACCAGAACCGAGACATCAAGAACTGCAGCAACAGCACCAGCAGCAGCAGTACCTCCAACCAGGCAACTTTCAACCAGACCACTTGGCGCCTGAACCCAGTATCAGTGAGCGTATCCCGACGCCCATTCATTGCAGCTTCGCCGAGCAAGGCCGGGGTAAGCACTGGGGTGGAGCGGCGGGTAACATCACCATGGACCACCGGGGTTCATATGGGGTCCCTCCGCCTACACAGCAGCACCACGAGCCATCCGTCTCGCTACTAGGCCACGAAAGCGTTCCTCGTTCTCTCGACGGCGCCGCAGCTACCGCACAGGTGATGGAGGACTGGAGCATGGTGCAGAACCGTCGGCTCCCCTCTCCTATTAGTGAGGTAGGAGGGGACATGGAGGACTGTGGCATGGGGGAAAGTCCGCGGATGATTCTCGAGTCGTACCACGCCGGCCATCAACATCACCATGACCACGACCACCGCGACAGCCAACAACACCTCCCCCGTCAACGCCTTAGCAGCCTCGACCAACTAACCCACAGCCATCCACTCCTCTCCGCCATGCCGTTACGCAACTCTTCTCTTAATAGCCAAATGGGGCCCCGCGAGCCGACGCCTATTCCCCAGGGAGAATACCAAAGCCACGGCCATGGTCATGGCCATAGTCATGGTAGTTTCGATGGTGTCGAGATAGACATGGGATCCCCACAGACATCGCCCAAAACCACGTCACCCCCTAACAAAAGGGGCCATCAGCGCTCCAAACACACGGTCAGCTCGTGGACTATGGCCAACCAGCCGGGCATGAAGAGGTCGTTCAGCATAGGGTATCGGGATGACTGCGAGAAGTGCCGGATGAAGGTTCCGGGGCATTTCAACCATATTATTGTGTCGTAGGATGGCGGTAGGCGGATGATCAGCTGATCTTTCCTTTTCAATTTCATTGAATTCTTCTGGGTGGAAGAGGAGGAGAGCAAGGGGGAGCTTCGCGGAAGCTTGGGGAAGGGTACCTTGTGGGTGGCTCCTGAGGACCTGGGATAAGAAAGGAGAGGATTGAATGGGTTGAAGACGGAGCTATGCCTCCAGGGGCTCTCAGAAATCGAGTGCCCTGAGTTCGACTGCTCTACTACGGCCACATCATGATTTCGAACCGCCATGGCAATGAAATGGTATTGCACCATTTTTTATCTGGTCCGGAGGAGTATCAAGGACACAGAGCGTTGGAGAAAAAAAGAAAAAAAAAGCCAAACCCTATAGCATACTCATATCTCTTTTGCTTTCACTGGGTTGCCTTTCGGAGTTCGGGGCCAGTTAGGGGAAGGCGGGGGTCGTCATTGACATTTACAAACATCACACGGTCGTTTATATACCAAGTTGACTCCCAAGATCGGGATGAAACACAGCGCATGGGGAGGAAAGCAGAGATGATTATGAGATGGTGACTGATACTAGTCACCCAAGTTTAAGTTTACTAGCTCAACTAATTGCATTACGCAGATAACAATGATTGACGAATAATATAATATCTGAAGTCTACCTATTCGTTGAACGTCTCGTGCCAGTGTTGAGTCCAGGCTGTAGAGATCTAACCCATTGTTTATAATGCCTGACTCAACGTGATGGAGATTCTACTAAATGTGAGGCATACAAAACATCCAATACAGTTTTCGAATACTTCTACGACTATGTTGTCTCTTACATGTATTTACGTAATCCATCTTCTCTGCGCCGATTTATGCAATAACTCCTTTCTACACTATGGTACATGGGGTAGGGGGCTCCTTGTCGAGCACATATCCTAGCCCGTTCTCCTATCATTCATCAACACCTCTTGTCGTGTTGTTGAAACCGTGCTCTGTACGCATGATATGCGTACTACAGGTCCCGCGACGCTCTGTCATGGCGGTCTCCCAGGAGCAGCCAAGCTCTGCAAAGGTTGCTGTGTGATTCCGTCGCCCACGCCACCCGCCCAAAATCTGTTTACCCTCATCGAGTGTTTGGTTAGTTCTGGTGACCATATTCGAGACATAGCAACGCCAAAGATCGCCAGATCACAAACGACCAAGCCTGCTTGTAGGATGCGTTCCCAGGAGATGATCATCATGAGCAAATCGGCTTGATGTCCTCACTCCTCACCTTATCCCTCATAATCATGAAAGACCGCTCCATCTTTAGATCGCCCGCCCCGGAGAATGGACTCTTTATCTTTTCCTCGATTTGCTTCAGCTCGCTCACTTCTGCTCAGGCAGGCCCACCTTGTCAAGGGGGCCACCCTTCCTCTGGTTTTCCTTCTCCTTCTCAAACGCCGCTTGCGCCTTCTCCTTGAGGGCGCTCGTCTCCTGCTTCACAGCGCCGACCAACGTGGGGGCTTGCTGTCCCGCACCCGCAGCAACATCCTCCTTCTTCAGCGAGCCGGTAAGCCAGCCCCATAGCCCAGACTTCTCCTCCGCAGCTGCAGGCTGCTGCTGCTGCTGCTGCTCCTCGGTCGTCTTCGGTGTTGTCGCCGCGGGCCACGTCGCCGCCTCTGATACGCTCGTTGTCGTCTGCTCTGTCGTCTCGTTCGTAATGGGAGTCGGGGCGCCGATGACACTGGGGAGCTTGGAGAAGATGGAGGGCTTCGGACGGCCAGCCTCGCGCTCACTCTCCAGGTACTCCTCCACCAGCGCAGTCTGCTCCTCGGTCGCCTTGCCGGTAATGTAGGCCAGGCGGGCGGCCTCGAGCGAATCGGCCTCCATCTTCTTCTGCGCCTCGATGAACTCGGCCTTGCGGTTCTTGTTGTAGATTATCATGTCGGCGGCGGTGTAGGCAGTTACCAAGCCGGCCATCACTATGACGTATGTTAGTTTCTCGTTCTTGGATCTAATGGCCCGGTACCAGGTACCGGGTTGCTTGCGAGAAAGTGGTGGGAGACGCGGCAAGAGAGAGGGGCCAGACTGGACTGCACTAACCTGTGAAACCAATCAACCCCAAGACGGTGACCTTGTGAGCCGAGTCGAAGAAGCGTCTGCTGCCGTCGATGATCCGGTCCATTCTCGAAACCTGCGCCTGCTTCGCCTTCAAGTGCGCAGCTCTTAACCGCGCAACCCTTTGCTCTGGTGTCTCGACGAACTTGGGTGTGCCGGGCATCTTGGGTTCCTTGGGACCTGTTGACGAGCCCTTGGGGGTGTTGAGCCGGGGATCCGCAGACTTGGAGCTGGCATGGGGGGTCGTGGGCGTGAAGCGTGTCGCGTCCGAGACGCTGCGGGGGTTCGACGGGGGCGCCATTGAATCGGCTTTGGAGTATATTTGTAGGATGTCCGGTTTGGGCAGGTATGTAGTCGGCGTCGAGGTCGAGCAGTCGGGTCCGGACGAGGTTGAAGGGCGAGATGGGGCTCTCGGGGGGGACTCTAACACTTTTTAGGATGGCGAGGTAGGGAGATATGGAGATTGTAGACGTTGCCGGGAGCCCATCCGATCATCCAATTCAAGAGATTTTTTGGCCGGAAGCTAGTTGCGAACCACTACGAGCTACCCGGCCGCTAGCTTCTCACTCAGCCACCAGCAAATGTGGCTGATTTTCAATCGCGGGGTCGTATGAACTAACTAAGCTTGAACCGTCAACAGCTGGAGGGGAGCACTCTGCGTGCAATTGGAGGCTGTTCAGTGGCTGCCACAGTGCCAAGCACCCGTCCCGGCTGGCCGACCGGGGTGTGTCTGGGCCGGCAACTGGGCCGATGGACGGGCAGAACGGGGCTCGATTTTTTTGACCGGCAAAGACTCCATCCGTCGCGCCTCGAGTCGCCCGCTCGTTGCCCGATTATTGTCGCCCCGTCCGCACCCGCGAACGCAATCGCCAACCCGGTCACCACCCCCCCCGGACAATCCATACAGGCCCCCATTGCACCGTGCCGTTGTCGCAAGTTGCAACCTCAACACACCAGCCATGCGCCGCATTCCGAGGATACCGTCCACGGCCTCTGCCCTGTGCAGCTCTTCGTCGTCTGTCGCTTCCACATCGGCCGCTCCCCTTCGCACCCCGAGGGCCGCTGCCGACTCCTCTTCCATCTGCCAGTCATGCAGCTTCTCGACACAAATCTCCGCCACCCGTAACCGCGTCTGGCAAAACACCGTCCAGACACAACGCCGATGCGCCTCGACTGTTCCCGAGACTACTCCCGAAGCGCCGGTAGCCGCCGCCGCCGCCGAAACCGCGACCGAGTCCAGGGAAACCGTTGAACAACAGAGGAAGAGGAAAGGAGGATTCGTCGAAACCCAGAGGCAGGTCAATCTCGTTCTTCCAGGACAACCCACGCGGGCCGACGCCCCAGAGAAGATCAGAGACCCCAACTATGAGCCCGCCACGTCCGGCGCGGGGCTGCAAGAGATCGGTGGCATGTCCGACTGGTGGAGCAAACCGGAGCATTTCAGGGATGGCGGGAAGCAGTTCGAATACCAGGGCTTTGCCCCGCAAGAGAAGATCACAGACCCCAGGCTGTTGAAGGTCATTCTGAGGAGGGCGCTCGTCGAGGGTCTGGCTCTGAAGAAGTTCGGCGCCAGCCCCAAGAACCCTGCGGATATGGCATCCATTATCGGCAACGGTGATCACTGGCAGAGGACTGTCTCTGTGGAGATGTGCCGTGGGGAGAACGGTGAGCTGTCGCTCAAGAACGAAAGCGACTTGCAGAAGGTCTGGATTCTCATGCGGAACGCGGCGGAAAAGACCTATTACCAGCGCGAGTGGCAGGAGGAGATAAACAGGCTACGTTCTCTCGGCGAAAAGGAGCAGGCCAAGCAATTGCTCGGGGAGGGCAAGAAGCTCGGCTATCGTTTAAAGAGCGAGGAGGGTTCCCTGGTCAAGTTGACCGTCGATGAGGCCGTCGAGCTCCGCAAGTCTTGGAACAACGACTGGAAGGAGGCTATCATCCGGGACCCTGTCGTCAAGTTCTACGTACGTCTAGTTCCAAATTCTATTATCCATGACAAGTTAGCTAACAGAAGCTTTTCATTCGATATAGGCTGCCAAGCGCATCCAGAAAATGACCGGTCACATCCTCTCCGACGGCAAACTCACCAGCATCCAGACTGTCGCCAACTTTATGGATGCCCTCGTCACTCCTCCCAAGCCCAAGAAGCTTGCTGAGCAGATCGAGCAGAGCAGCATCTTGCCCGAGCTCCCGAACGTCAAGGTGTACCCCAGGAGAGTCACGCCTGTGGACAAGGAGAAGATGGTTGGTCGCTGGAAGGTCATCCAGAAGGAGCTCCAGAAGCGTGAGCTTCCTGTTTTGGGTACGGGTAACCACGGCAAGTACGTAGAGCTCAAGTGGCTTGGTAGCAAGCAGTAAGGAGTGGTTTCTGTGGTTGGCAGTAAAGTGAGCGCAGCAGGTGTGGGTCTGGCGATGGTTACAGATGATCCTGGCCGGGATCGATGCGGCGCCGGCCATGTGTATACTATCTATGCGCCCAAAAGATGGACGTGTAGCCGTCTCCCTACGCGGTCGCAGTGGCTACTGCTGTGTACCGGTAAAGTGTATAATGTGGCATGTAGCATATACGGGTGTCTTTTTTTGTTGTATACCCTCTTGTCGTTTTGCGCTGCTTTGATTATTACCCCTGAATATGGGAGGATGTCCGAGCCATGTGTTCAACGTGAAGTTTCGGGCTATCGCATGGTCTACGCTCAAGAGCTAGAATTCTTGGACTATTTCTCTGTGCTTGACATCATACCCACTGTGTTCGCAGTCTTATGAAATCAATACTAATAACCAGATGCCAAGTCCTGTGGAATTGATAAGGGGAGCTATCAACCCGTTCCAGTGTTAGCGCAGGACTTGTAAGGTATGTCACTGGCCAGCACTACACCCGAACTTCAAGCTGCAATCAATCATAAGGTGCTTATCACCAGTTGAACAAATACCCAGGAAGAGATCAAAGCCACGGTGATCGACGAACGAGAGACACTGACTGCTGTTGGACCAGTCATTCCGCGGTACGGAGGGAGTTGTTGCAACCAGCTTGATACCTCACCCCAGTAACAGCTGTAGGTACCTTGTTGACCTCCCCACTTTGGAGCCCCACTCACCTTATTGTTTGAAGCTCTCACCTCAACCTCCTCTCCTTTGTCTCCCAAACATCACCGCTTGTTCGGCAACCAATTCTTTTTCATTCATCGGCAGATACTGCGACGGAAGTAAGAAGCCAGAATGGCTTTCACACTCGATAAGAATTTGTTGAGCCAGCTTGAGGCCGCTTGGAATGGCGGAGATAAACCGCTCGACACATTGGCCGGTCTTCTGGAAAGAATCGGTGATGGCGTCAGAGATCGTGAGTTTCCCCTTTATTTCGGTGGACGTATCAGATCGTTAAAGAACCCAGACAGAAAAGGTAACTTGGCAAGATGAGTAGCTAACTATTCAACTCATCAAACAGCCAGTTTACGAAATCCTCTCAGAGAGTCCGGCATCCTAGACTTCGTCTTGAAAGTCTTACCAACAGAAGAGCTGGATCTGAGCTTGAAGCGTCAATGTTTGCGTGTGCTTGGAAATGGATGTGCCGATTGCGGTAAGAATTCTGTATGCAGCCATGGACAAAACGGACCTAAGCTAAACATACCACAGATGAGAACAGAGCCAAGCTGGTTGAGTCTGGTCAACTTCGTACTGTCATCCGCTTTTTGAACGACAGGTCTCTTCTTCCTTTGTTGTTGCCCGTTTTATACAACGTCATTGTTGATTATGGTACGGTGCCCTCGAACACTGGAAAAACGAAGCTTCAGCTAATCCTACTCTAGAGCCGGCACAACTTCAGGTGTGTGAAGCAGGGCTAAGCAAAGCTCTTGTAGCTCTGTTGCAAGAGGGTTCCCTTCAGCCGGGAGGAGATCACGACCAAGTTCTCCATCTCATCAACAACATCTTCGAGTTACTGGTGTCTCAGAGTACGCATAACCATTTAATATTCACATCTCCCTTTGTAGCTAACAAACTCCGCCAGAACCCGAACCCGAACTTGCCGACCCCTCCACCCCCGCCGTCTTCCTCGCTCTCGCCGGCGGCTCCCCCTCCGGCCTTCCCTCCCTCGAGCTCTTCAACGGCTTCTGCACCGTCGCCCTCGCCTACCTAACTTACGAATCCCTCCAACCCGCCTTCCTCTCTTCAGCCTCCAACATCCTCCACCTCCAACAAGCCTTCTACAACGCGTGCTTCTCGTATGAGAACTTACCCGAACCCGACCTGGACGACCTCGACCAGCTCAAGACCGTCTGCACGACCTTTGTCACTTTGCTAGCTGACCTGTCCGCGCACCCTTCCTTCTCCGAGCTCTACCCGATCTCCTCCAGCCCCGTATCCCGCAAGTTCCTCCTCTGGCTATCCTCCGCAGAATTCGCAAACCAACACCTCCGCACCGCCGCCTGCCTATGTCTCGGCAACTTGTCTCGCTCCGACGAAGCCAGCACCGCGCTCGTCGCGGACCCTGAGTTCCACGTGCACACCCACCTGGCTTCCCTCCTCGCGCAAGCGCTCGACCCTTCCAACACCTCCGTCCCTGCCACCCCGCAGCTGTTGCACGCCATTCTTTCGTTCGCCAAGAACTTGGCCATCCCGCAGGGCAACAAGATCCCGATAGGCGAAGCCTTCCTGCCGGATTTGCTTGCGGGCGCGTGGATCAAGACGGCGGTGCAGCCGCAGGTGCAATTCGCTGCTGTTTCGCTTGCGAGGCTGTTGTTGGTGAATGCGCCCGGCAACGTCGCCAAGCTATGTAAGCCCTTGGCGGCGGACTTCAAGCATACGGAAAAGGAAGAGGTCAGGAGCTACTTCCATTTACTGATGACGCTTGGCGCGAGATCGGATCTGGAGCCGACCAAGATCGAGACGGCGAGGGGGGTGATGAGTGTGGTCAGAGCATTGCAGGCTACTACTGCCCAGGAGGGAGAGGACAAGGTCGAAGTTCTGGATGAGAAGGACTGGGGCACAACTCGCGAGGAGTTTTATGAGGAGCATGGCCCGTTGATTGCGAGGCACTTGGCGCATCTCCTTGCGCAGGGGAAGTACCCGGCTTTGAGGTCGGAGGTGTTATTTGTGCTGGCGTTGCTTGCGCGATCGACGGATGGAGGAGCCAATGTTGTGTTGAGGGTGTTGAACGAGGGGACGGAGGCGGTCAAGAAGTTGGCGGTGGCGGTTACGGGAAGTGAGGAGGTTGCTGCTGGGTTGGAGAGCGAGAGTGGTGATAGTGGAAGGATTGAGGAGATTAAGGATGAGAAGGAGGAGGATAAGCCAGCTGAGGTGACGTCCATCATGGAAGGACTGAACCTCAACCCTCAACAGGCTGAGACCAAGCCATCGGCTGCTGCTACGGCTAAAGACCGCGAGAACGGATTGGTGTTGGTTGCGGAGATTCTGAGAAATCACTCCAAGGAACTGAAGGGGCCGAGAAAGGATGTGTTTGAGGAGATCTTGAAGAAAGGAACCGAGTTGTTGCAGGAGGACAGGAAGGGAAACTAGATTGAGAGAGCGTCAGTGACTCTGATATTAGCAAATAACAATGGCCCGCATCTTCACACCAGGAGAGTCAACGGTTCAGCAAACAAGGAGACAAGGCGTGATCAAAAACTAAACAAGAACTCAGGCATTTTTGTTGCAATCCGTATGAACTCCCCGATTGGTATCACCCAAGAACAAGGACCTATTGAAGTTGGTCAAGAATCATGCTTTTTCCGTTGTCCATTCATTGTGCGCTGCTCTAGCAAATCCCTATGATGCGTGTAGTAATTGAACCGTGTCCCGCTTTAAAAAGTGACGTGAAATCCCCCGGAACTACACGGCCCTTGGTCGAGGATGTCCAACATGGTGGTCCTCGCCCAGGTGACAAGGAAAAGCATAACCGAGACCAGACCAGCCAAACACCGCCACAGAGATGCCGCTTCAACCACCCCGTCCAAGAGGAGCAATTTACTTGCTCTTCTCGGCCTCGGCAGCAGCCTTGTCCTTGGCGCGCTTCTCGCGGACACCAATGAGCTTGGCGTCGGAGCGAGCCTTGCGGAGAGCGCGGAAAGCACCACCCTCGATGTTGGAGGGGAGCTCGGACTTGGGGATCTCCTTGAAGCCAGAGACGATGGGGCGCTCGACGCCGAAAACGGCCTCGACGCTCTTGACGAACTCGCCGGTCTGCTGGTCCTTGGGGGTATCGGCCTTCTTGGGCTTGTTGGACTTGCGGGGGAAGACGACGAGGCGGGCCTGGTAGGCCTTCAGGCGCTCGACATTGGCGGCAAGGGACTCCTCGGAGAGGTTGGCGCGGCGGGGGTCAACCGAGATGCCGATGGTGGGAGCAACAAGCTTGGGGATACCGGCAGCCTATAGTTTGTATCCGTGTCAGAGAGCCGCGCTGCATTCCCATCTCTCAGGGTTCTCTCGGATCAATCGTACCTTGAGCTCAGCGAGGGAGAAACCACGGCCGAGGCGGGTGCGGCGGTTGTACTTGATGGTGCTGCACACAGCTGCTGTCAGATCTCCACGCTCTCTTCGAATATCGTCGGAATGCAAGGTTGTACTAACGGGCACCGGACAATGGGGCGGAGCTTGTCAACCGGGCGAGGGGCAAGAGCAGCAGCCTTGGCCTGGCGAGCGACACGGCGGGAAGCCTTCTTGCCAGCCTATTTGTTTTCCCATCCGTCAGAATCAGAGTTCCCAGCTCGCAGTATCGTCCTCCCCCGTTCTGTGTGTGGTTTTAACGAACCTGGTCGAAGTGGCACCTGACGCGCCTCTGCCAATCCTTGCGGAAGTCTGAAAAATTCGAGTCAGTCCATGTCGTTGTTTTCGAGGTCAAAAGTCGTCGTCGTCGTCGTCGTCGTCATTGTCGGGCTATCGTTCGGGATGGGGATGCTCACGGTTGTTGGGAATCTGCTGGTTGTGCTTGATCGCCTATTTACACCAAAAAAAGTCGCGGTCAGTCAAACTGGCTTCCCATCGTAAAAATAACAGGACGTCTGCTGTCGCAATCGTCCAGCAGCAATTCGGTACTCACCATTGTGACGGTTGTGGATCAAGCGCTCTTGATTGTCGAAGAGGTGCCGCCGGTCAGTAAAGGCAGATGCAATTTCGAGGTCAACACGGCACGGAGGAGTCGCTGGCCAAATTTTTGGCAGGGCTTGAAAACCCTATGGAGGGCGGTGGGGATTGGTGATTCGACCGGCCTGCCGGTGGGGCAGACTCGCCCTTGCTTGGGCAGAATCCAGCCTGTGCCAGCCGTCAGGCGGCTGCCATTCTGTGCGCACACAACCATATTCTCCACTTTTCAATTGGCAGCGATGCCTCAGTTTGGTCGAGCTCGTCTTTGCCTACAAAACGTCCTCGACGTTCATGGAGGTGCGGCGACAGTGGTAAATAAAACAACATTTACAGCGTTTATCATGGTCAACAACTTGCACCGAGAGAAGTCGGCGCTGGCCGATTGGTTCCTTTGAAACTTCATGTTTGCAACTCCTATGAAACTGCCGTCAAGAGGGAACTCGAGACTGCATCGCATCGATGCAGAACAGCTTCTAGTGCACAATCGTGCGACGTCATTGCATGGAAGACGTATAAGTCACAAAGGTCCTCAAAAGGGTTCAACTCGATGCAGCTTTCACATCCGACAAGACACTTACCAAAAGTGATGAAGACTCCGCAGCCATTGATTGGATGCTTCTTTTTGTTTATTGTCCTCTAAGTATAGTCTGGCTATTTGTCATGACTTGACTTCTCCCATTCCCCTCATTCCATTTATGGACCCCATTAGTTCCTATCGGTCGAAGCCAAACAGCCCATCATAGGTGTTCACCTCTAATTCGGCATGACCTCCAACATGTTATCAATCGCCATGGTGGTTGACAGGTGCCGATGTCTTGCCCCTGAACCCTTTCACCAGACCAGTTTGTAAATCTCTATCCACACCTTCACCCAAAATCAACCCATCGGGGCTGCTCTGCAACCGCTCAAGGTTCCTAAGGACAAGCTTGTAGTCACCGAAGAAGCGATGCGTCCTCACATCTTCCGCAGCTGTCACGACACCTTCTCCCGTTCCCGTCAGCCCATGGCCTAGCGTGACTGCCCACACGCCCTCAACCATGATGGCATGGGCGTCCACATCCGGATCAGCTGACAGCAGGACCGAGTAGATATCCCCGGTGTAACTGACGTAGTCGCCGAGCGCAACAACCCTTGGGAACGCCCAGTCCTTTGCATCAAGCGAAACAGGATGCCACGGCGTAACCAGCAGTCGTCTTGCCCCTTCATCCCTAGCCATAACCAAGCACATGCTCTCCTCGCAAACAGGCGTCTTCAGAACGGCTCTTACCTTCCTGAACCCCTTTGGCGTCTGCACCATCATTCCCCTCCGCAGCCTACTGATCTCAATCTCCTTTGTCACCAACTGATCGCTATCCGCAGCCACATCTTCAGTAACGGCAACACCAACCCTCACCCTCATCTCCCCAGCAAAGCAAGGATTGCCACTGCTATTATACGCCCGCATACTAATTTCGCCCTGGAACCCCGTGGTCCTACTCGGCTTCGGCGCCGGCAGCGAATCAAACGCCGCATCCAGCCGATCTCGACATCTAACGAGCAGCGGGCTCTCCGCGCCGTACATCAGCGGGCCAGGGTCCTTGAAGCTGTTGCACACCTGCCTGGCGTGCGCCCCCGCGAGAGAAGGTAGGTAGTGGATGCCCCAGCGGTTGTAAAAGTCCTCTTCGGTCAGGGCCAGGGTGACTTGGCCGTCTTGGTTGGCGTCGTTGACGGCGGACTTGCTGCCGATGAGGTCTTGGACTAGCGAGCGGCAGTGCGGATCGGAGGCGAAGGCGGGTTGGGCGGCGGGCAGGGTGGAAAGAAAGGTTTGCAGGGAGGTGGCAAGGCCGGGGTTGAAGGAGCGCGGTTGGTGTTCGCCATCGGGGCGAAGGCGGTGAAGGGAGGAAAGGAAGGAGATGAGGGCGGAGCGGGAGATGTGGTAGGCGGTTTGCGCGGTGGTTAGCTGCTTGACTTGGGGATTTGGTCGGAAGATGTCATTACACTCTGACATCAGGGTGTTGATGATATTTGTGAAGTGTTGGTAATCGAGCGTGGCGAACACGGAGGGAGGGGACTCAAAGTCGAAACCGTCGGCAATGGCATCCTGGGCCTTGCTGTCGTAACGGAGGAAGATGTCGCGGGATTGGCCGTATTGAAGGGTGCTGAGGTTGAGGGTGAGTTGCATCGATGAGTCGGGGTCCACATCCCCCTTCTCGAGCTGGACAGACTCTACTTTGTCCACCGACTCTCCCGTTGTCTCCTCAAGACCCAAATACTTGGGGTAGGTAAGGCGTAAAACCACATTATTCGCGAACGTTGACTGGAGGTTTGCAACCGAATGAACGAACACAGTTCCCTAGTCTCGCAGTCAGCAATTTACTCTCCAGAACAGGTCACCAACAAAAGAAAGGGAAAAACCTACAATCATCCCCGCATCCGGAATAAACGAATAACCACCCCCTCCAATCTCCGCCACGCTCTTCAACAACCCACTTCTCAAACTATACCCAAATCCAAACGTATGAATCGCCGCCGGCAACGTTTCCATCGCTCTCAGCTTCGCCACGTACCCCTGCGCCGGACACATGTGATTCGGCATGCCATCCGTCAAGACCATCAGCGCCGGCATCCTGCCACTTTGTCCGTCAAAAAGTTTCAAACCCTCCACGATCCCTCCCCACAGATTCGTCGCGCTAGAGGGTTGCATCCCGCCCAGATTTCTTTCTGTTTTCTTCTTGTTGAGCGCTGTCATCGGCATCAAGGGTTGCAGGACTTTGGCTTCGGTGGAAAAAGTGACGATGCCTAGACGGTCGGAGGAGTTGAGCGTGGAGACGATGGTACGGGCTGCGTGCTTGACTAGGTCTAGAACTGAGAGGCCGTTGTGCTCGGGCTGTTCGTTTGTGTAGTCGGCAGAAGTGGTGGTGGGCACCGGGGCGTCGGCGGACATGCTGCCTGAGACATCGATGGCGAGGACAATGTCGCAGGGGACATGGTGGAAGTTTGGGTCTGGAAGGTTGGGGGGAGACCGAGGGGGAATCAAGCGGAGGAGGAGACCGGAAGTGTGAGAAGGGAGGGGGTGAATTTCGAGCTTAGGGGCGGCGGGTTGAATTTCTGAGCTGGAGCTTGGCGAGGTTGAGTGTGAGGATGATGGTGCGGATACTATGGGGATGGTGATCGGGGCGGTCATGTTGGATGGATTGGATGGGTTAGGTTTGTTTGAGAAGTTTGATAGGCGACAAGGTGTTTCGGAAGATATCCGAAAGGCTGCAGGTCGTTGGGGGGCCGAGCTGACGGCAGAACGCCGATGTGACTGGACGGGCAGCTATCTGTGTGCAACTGATAAGAACCACACTGCCGGTATTGAAGATGTTCAGGTTAGGTTGGTACCTACCTACGATTCCCACCTTGAAATAAATGTGACGATGTGACGGTGTTGCCGTTGCTGATGTTGTTCCAAGGCAGCTGAGAAGATCCCAGTCGCTAAGTGCATGCACCGAAATACAAGGAAGTTGCTCTGCTGTTTCTTTAACCGCTGGAGAAGGTTCGTTGGTCCTGCCGTTGTGAATCACCATCGGATGTCCATTCAGATGCAGCTCAGACCAACAAACATGTGACGCCTTGTCTGATGCAAGACAGCGCTTATAAAGTCACAACCGCGATCTGCTCAAACGTAAAGAGGCAGCCAACTCAGCTAGCAAACAAACTAGTTCATCCCTCGAGACGTTTGCCTTCCTTGAGAAATTAGTGTACTATGGATCGAACTAGAATGTATGGAGAACGATACGGCTCATGGCCGAGGTCCGAGAGGGTCTTCCGTTATTCGTCCGTTTACTCACCCGGAGAAAAGACCGAGAATAACCCATAGAGCCGGGGACCAGTGAGGGCCGCTATCCGGAGAAGAGGCGGCTTTGGAAATCGCCCAGCGCTTGGCAACACAGCGCATATTCCAATCGAAGCTGGTTTTTATGGGGTTTGGTGGACAAAACAATTATTTGCAAAATGAGGAATTGACCAATGACCGAATCAGTGGCAGTGAATACCGATTTGCATGTTGCTGCTGTGTTGCCTCGAGTGTGTCGCAGCACAAGAGCCAATCGGCTTTCTTTGTTCGATTGCGATGAGACTGGCTGAGTCCAACGCCGATGACCGGGACCCCTTGGCGTCGGCAACCCGGCAAAAAAGGCCTGACAAACACGCTGGAAAGATAGCTGCACACATCGGTCCCTCTTCCATGTCGTTGGCAGGCAGCAGGACGTGAGGCTGAATGGTGACGCCCTGAAGCGAGATGTTAAGCTTTGGACTGGAGCAATCCACAGCGAAAAGAGAAAGGGAGTCTGTCTGTGTCACGAAGGAAGGAAATGGGATGGAGTGAAGGGTCGTGCACCCCGCCATGTGGGGCAACTGCAAGACTTCTCCACTTTTGATGTTCCCCGCGAGCCCCGCAAGCATCCAATCCATGTGGCAGGTGGTCCCGTTTTCCACACGGCTTTGTGGTGCTTTTGCACGACGCCGTAGACGGGCCATTTTCCCCCCCATCATGACGAAACTTTATGTTGGAATCCGATTTCGAACAGTTTACTTCCTTTGTTCTTCGCTCACGAACCTGGCGGGATGTATCGTGACCCAAAGTTGTCTCCAAAGGTATGCTTCCCATGGATTAGCTAAGACGCCCATTGAACCATGTCTATGCCTTCGCCCTTTGTGGACATTTTTTGGTCTTTGGGCGCATCTAAGCCTCAAAAGTCAGGGTTGGCTTGGCCAAGGTCATTGGCGCTTGACGAAGTAAGCCAAAAACGATGCATCTTGGCAAACCACCACTGCCCTGATTCAGTGGATTCCGGCCAACTCGGCGTTGGACGACTTCCGTTCCCTGCCAACAAGGCAAATATTTACGAAAAGTCGTAGCAGTTGTTGGCAGGATTTATAGACTACCTACACTACAGCAGCAGCACTACACTAGTACACGGGATAATCCTGATCGTCATACACGTGGTCAACACAACGACAACACGTACACTGAGTAGTTGGGCATGTGCTCCGTTTCGCTCCAAAGACATCACACACTACACTACGCAGACGCCGAATGTTGCCTCTCCGAAAGTTTCCATCCTCGGAGTCGTGGTCCTAACTGTCTTGGCCTCCTCGTTCCCGTGGAATCCACTTTATGCGCGATGACGACGGCGCCATTTTCTTTATTTTCTACCAACGCATGCGTGTGGTACACCATCATTACCACCAACAAGCACCACCTACCTAGCACCATCAGCCTATGGGATGGTGGGTTGATATGGCAGTTGGATGAGCAGTTTAGGACAAAGAAGCGTCCGAAAATCGACTAACGGACAACCCCGGTTCCACGCTCTTTGAGACGTTTGTGTTCTGCAAACACCCGTCTTACCGTCCTTCAGCCACCGGCGCCTCGCGATGAATACCCTGGACTGAATCTGGGACTGGACTCGACTATCAGAGGACCCTCACACCCTTTCCCCCACGCCTCGTTCTGAAATAAGCGTTTACCAAATCTGCATAGCTCATCGCATGCTCTCATTGGACGTCTTGTAGACAAGCGGAAGTCCTCCATCTTCTTTGGTCGTCTCAATCCTCGCTCCCCAGTATGTAATGTACACAGTAGACCCAGCTCCCCCAGCCGTTCCGAGCGTCAAAACACCCCAGTCCGGCTTTAAGAATTGCGGGGAAGGCTCCGATCACTGCACCCCCGCCCCAACCACTAACGCACCAAGGGCAGTGATGCAGCACACTTGCGGCCCACTTGCAGATGCTGGTGCATATTGTAACTTTGGCGTTTACTTGGCTTCCGTCCTCGACATGAGCTCCCAAGGCCAAGAAGCTCCAATTGTCTCGAAAATATGGGGGGGATCTCCCCGGTTTCGCACCACCATCCCACCATCTGCCCACACATCTGCCCAGCTCGCTGCGGCAAGCCGTGTCCACACGAGCGGCAGGGTACACTAACTGTGTAAGTCCATCTGTGGCCAGGCCAGGCATGCGATTTGTTTCCTATTTCTCCCGTATTCAAGGGCTTTTTCCCGATCCGGAGGCTTCACACCCACCGGCATGATAGGCGGCGGGGGGGAATTCTGGAGGATCTCCAATAAGGTTTTTCCTGGCCAAGGTGGTAAGCTACGTAAGCTTGGCAAGGCATGAAGCTCCGAGATGCGGCGTCCGAGAGACTGATAGGGAATCCCATCTTTTCTTTGATTCGTCATTTTCTTTTCTTGTTACAGTTTACTTTCAGTCAACGTTTGCCACTGATATCGGACGAAAGCCCAGCCTTCCACGTCTATATATCCCTCTCCCACCACCTCCATTGTGTTGAACGTCTTTGTTCTTGAGCACCCTCTTCTGTCCATCACCAAAAAAAAAAAAAAGACTCCAAATTGCAATCTAGCTGCCTGGTACTATCAAACCACAACATCACTTTAACCACAATTCAAATCTACTGTCCTTCTCACCCATTCAGTAAGTCAACCATGGAGTACATGACCCCAGTCAGGAACAACTGCTCACATATGCTTTCTGTAGAAATGGAAGTCAAGACACCCGTCGTCCTCGTTCCCTCCATGGCCCCTCGCTGCTGCCAGTGCAAGACCATGCTCGTCATCAGCAACTCCTGCTGCCACTGCGCCCACCACCAGTGCTCCTCCTGCGTCTAAGCTCCATCGCATCCACCCCTTTCGAGCACCTTCACTGGGCCGATCCAAAAGACAAACATCGATACATCCCACCGACATGAACCTACATACATCACTGTCCCTACTTGCGATTACTCAGTTACTCGCTACAACCTCCACTCAGCCATTATGCCCCAACGGCATCCATTTCGTCCTTTTCTTGTAAGGGGACTGTACGACTATTTTTTTGACGACACAACTTGAATTTGATACCCGGCGGAACGAATTTGACTTCAACTACTTGGGAGAGGATTTTTATTGATTTTTTTTGGCTTCACGCAACATGCATTGCTTTGGGGGATATCAGGCGGCGGTCGGAGGTGTGCGGTCGGCCAGTTTCAGCCTGTTTGTTTCTTACTAGCAAGTCAGTTACGACGCCATTTGTGAGGTTTTGGGCAGCATTGCGACGCATTGTTGGAATTTATGTATTTTATCCTGTACGTAATAATATGGGAATCGTAACATTACTCAACATTTGAATATTTGCCTAGTGCTTAGTGCTACGGTTTGTGTTTTAGCAGCGGGAAGGCGCGATGTATTGTTGATGGGGAAGGGCATGAAAGCTCTTGGAGCACACGACACTCGTCAAGATTTCTCTCTCAATCAACCGATCATCACTTGTCTGCCAAAAGAAATTCTCCACGCAGTCGTTTTCCACCAGATGTGTAGTGTCACCAATCTATCAAGGACATGTCACCGTGAGCTCGATGTCGACGGAGTGATGCCGATGGACACTTGGTGAGACGGCCGGTATATTTCATCCGAGATTCAACTACCTCTGTTCGTCGCTGACAGTGTCATTCTATCTTAGCTTCTTTGCAACGTAAACGCTCCATCTTTCATCCGGTTTTCCTCCTGCAAGTCTGCCACCAGCCCGAGATGGCTCTTTCGCGATGGTCATAACTCCACGATCTTTGCGGCGCGGCTTGAAGCCGTCGTCGATACGTTTGTACAGCGTGTGCGTCTCTCTCGACATTTCCGATTCCTGTTATGGAGCCGACCTTACAAGTGACTTCTATCTAGACAGCAGAATGATGGAATCTCATTCCGATGGATCACTCAGACATAAAGGATACAAGTTGAATGCAACATCGCCACTTCGCTTCTGTCTGGTCCGGTACGGTGTATATCAAACGCCATCAAACATCGCATTTGCTCTCATTCCATCTTCCATCTTGTCTCAAGTCCTTCCGCCTGACCTCGACGTCAAACTTTGGTACCCTGGTCATCCCAACCACCAACTTGTATCTACCGCGCTCCTCCTCTATGCTCTTGCGGGCTATATTTTGATCTTTCTTGTATTCTTTTCTCGGTCCGCCTTTTTCTCCTCCATCCTCTCACGGCATATATCTTCACTCTTGCTCTTCCTCTTCCCCGTTCTCTTTCTCTTTCCCCCGCCCTCTCATAATCTATACATTGACGTCTTCTCTTCCCGACTTCTTTTCCAGATCTTTCTTCTACATCTCCATCTCACAGCCCAACTTCCCAGCTTTCTTCAACACCACGATATATCCATCTTGACATCTCGAAGTTCCCTTCGTTGTCGCCCTTCATTCCCTTCTCAAACACAGTATTGGCCGGGCAGATATCTCTCGTATTTCAGTCACATTGATTCTCTCAACTTGGGCTGTCCAAACTTACCGTTTGGTGAATTTGGCAATATAACACCGATTCTCTTACTCCCTTATAATTTGAAACAACTTCACTTATCACTCATTTTCAACAAAGAAAACGAGCATTCAAGGTGGGCAGCCTCAAAATGTCATTAGCCGATACGGTTGATCCGATTCGGAGCATCGACGCCCTTGATGTCCTCCCGCTGCCAACTCGCATGCGGATGCTTGAGGACTGCCTTGATGCTGGCCTCAAGTACTCCTCCGAGATTGCCAAGCTTATTGGACAGGCAGTTCCAGGGACGGATGATATTGATGAAGACGGCACTGATACGGAGGCACTCGGGAGAGCGAATCTCAAGCAATGGCTCAAGGACGCAGGTGAGTGCATGTAGTACCTAATCATTCAATCTGTCCGAGAAATGCTGACCAATCCCAGACGAAATTAACGACGAACACAAGCAATTCGAGATCCTCGTTGGCGTACAGGGAAAGACTGGAGCGGGAAAGACATCTTTACTAAATGCACTCCTCGGATACAAGGACCTCCTACCGCCCAACGACGCTCTCGTTGCCACAGCTGCAATTTGTCAGGTTGCCTATAACTATTCCAACGATCCGAAGAAGGCCTTTCGTGCGGAAATCACATTTCGCAAGCTCTTGGATGTCAAACATGAGCTGAACCAATTTTTCCAAGACATCAAGTTGCGGGACCAGCTGTTGAATGGCAGGGGAGAATTTGAAGAAGATGACGGTGACAGAGACAGCTCTGACGACAATGACATTGGGGAGATCACCGAAAGAATCAATGCCACTGCCGAAAAGATCGGACCTGTTTGGGGTTACACTCGGATCGAACTGGAGAGCAAGTCCACGCAGGATCTTCTGGCCAAGACTGATCCAGCAGTGAAGCTGCTCAGCACAACAAAAACAATCAATGCTGCGGATCTTGAGACTTTTGCACCAGCGGTGAAGCCGTATCTAGATGCGACGACGACGGAGATTACGGGGAGAGCGGGCGCTGAGACCCGTGAAATGGCCGTCTGGCCTTTGATTGACCACGTCAAAGTTTATGTCAAGTCGGAAGTCCTCCGTGGAGGAATCGTCTTAGTCGATTTGCCAGGCCTTGGTGAAATCGTGGAGACCCGAGCGGCTGTCGCCAGGAAGTTTTACAACAAATTGACAGTGTCCATTGTCGTCACACCTTCTGTCCGAGCAGCCGGTGAAAAGACAGCGGTTAACCTGATGACGGAAAACCAGGAGATAAACATGCGAATGAGTGGAAAGCTCGATGACCGTGGTTACTGTGTCGTGCTTTCCAAGGCCGACGATGGTGTTGACTGGCAGACTACAGCACGAAACCAGAAAAGGCAGAAGGATATTAAAATGGTCAGCGACCTGACTAAGAAGCTCAATGGCGAAGAGGCCGCCCTGAATCAACTGCGGCCCCAGATCGCAAAAGTTTGCAATTCCTTGCAACTGAACGCGAAGATCAGCGGGGAAGAAAAGAGGAAAAGGCTCGCCGAGTTGAGAAAGCTGTACGACAAAAAGAAAATTCATCTGAAGCTCCAGAAAGAGCTCACATGGGAGAAAAAAAGAGCACACTGGGGACAGGTTTTCACGGCAGTCCAATCTCGAAGTGCCCTCTTAGCAACCGAGATCAACCGTTATCTCAAAGAGCGACATGCTGTTTTCATGAAGAGCTGTCCTGGCGCGGCAGCACCCTTCTGTCCTCCGAAGATATTTCCCATCAGCGTCAGGGCGTACTGGCCGTTGCAGAGAAAAATCGAGGTTGACCCGGATGCAATCCCCGAAGACCCCATGGTGGGGTTTCCTGAGGAAGCCTACACAGGCATCCCGGCTCTTAAAGGCTGGTTGTACGAGGCCACGATTCCACAGAGGGAGCGCCATATGAAGGCGCTCCTCCACAGACTCATTGGCCTCTACTATAACCTACAGACTTGGTCTGATAAGGAATGCGAGAGAATCAAATTGCACATGACGCCGGATGAGTTGAGGGAAGAGTATCTAGACGGGGAGTACAAGCTGCTGGAAAAAGTGAGTTAACGAATTACAGTGCCCTTTCGAGCTGTACCTACAATCACCATCATGACTGGACGTACTAACACAGACTCGTTCTCTACGACACATAGAAACTCGGAGCTTACAAAAAGAAACTCTCCAAACAAGTCTCTGACTGCAACCCCCTCAAAGACACTAGCGAAGCAATGGACACTTGCATCAAGCAATGTGTCAACCAAGTGAAAAATTGGATTTACAAAGACCCTGAAGGCGAGAACCCGCATAAGAAACTCCACTACGGTACATTCCTTGCCATCATCAAAGCTGGCGGCGGCGTCTTTTTCAGCCGTGCCGGGGGCCAGAAAAAGATGTATGACTGGATGGAAGGGCTCGCCCACCTTTTCAAGAATCAAATTTGCTCCCAATGGGTACATTCTCTACATGAACAACTTCCTCTTCTCGAAGGTTCCGCGCTTGTCGAACTTGACGCCAGATGGGACCACCGCATCAATACCATTCTCACCGTTCTCAAGAAGCAATTCCCTAGGCAGAAGGATTACCTTACGTCCAAGGTCCCCAGCCTGAAAATCATTAAGGAGCAAGTCAAAGATCAAGTTGCTCAAGCACTCCACGACGTCGCTATCAATTCTGATGATGTGCACAAGGAGCTAGCGGTTGATATCAAGGCCAAATGGAAGACGACGTTCAAGAGAGCCTCAGACCCGAAGCTCAAGGGTAAAGGGACCATGGAAAAGCGGCATAAGATATTGAGAACGTTCTCTACTCATAAAGACAACAAGACGTACAAGGATGCGGTGGCCAAGTTAAAGAAGGAAGTGGCCGAGGAGATCAACAAATTTCCGAAGCGACTGGAAACAATTTGGATGATAGGATTGGCGAAGTTAAAGGCCGAGGTCAGTCTCATCATGGACAATATCGTCGAGTATGAGAAGGAGCAGGTTGACGATAGCATGGAAGGCTTGGAGGGCGACGGCAGCGGAATCGACGAAGCCGGCGTCTCGGAGGAGTTGAGGAAACAGAAGATTGGCTTGCAGGAGAAAATCAGGCCGATGCTCAATCGATGGTATTTTGCGTGGGACATGAGCCCGGGTGATGTTCCCATGCACGATGTGGAGGAACTGGATCAGGATGAGGGTGCGAAGACGGGTTGTAAAGAGGAGAGCAAGATCCCAACAACTTTCAGCCTGGGAGCTTTGGCGAATGACGGAGACAATACAATGGCGGAGGATTCGAATGATGCGATTATTGAATTTCATCTCAATACTGGTCTGGTGGAGGATAGCACGAAGATCAAGGAGGAAATTATTGACTCGGATTGATGAGAAAACTTGAGTTCGCACATGATAGGACGGCTGGCTGGTATACTGGGGCTGGAGACATATTTGGACTCTAGGTGTAACTGTGGTTGAAGGCATCTGGGTGCATTCTTTCGAACAGTATATGGTGGTCGTTGAAGTTAAGCTTTAGCAATCAGAGTCCGAGGGTAACAAATGAGGCTGGTGGAATCTCTAACCTATGCGATCTAGGCAACGGGTTTGCTTAGGAAATGCAAAGAAAACTACGCCGGAAGTGGTAGGGTAGCGACTTAATGGATGGTAACGATGGGGAAGGAACACTACTCTGGGCTATGGTGCTCTAGTTTTAATCACGAAGTTCCAGAGCAGAGGCAGAAACGCAACCAGATAGATCAAATAATTTGAATTCTACCGCTGAAAAGCGATTCACATCAAAATCCGGTGTTGTATGACGCTTTGGTAGAAGTAATCGAGCCTTCGCAGTACGAATTCACTGATCGAACTCGGCTTATAAAATGAGAGTTGGTTGCGTTTTGTACTTCGTTTATCATCCATGATATCGCGTCCCAGTAAATGTACAAAAGCTTTATATAATCCCAAACTTACTCTCTAACAAAGACACCAGCCATGCCCATGCCAGTGCCAACACACATGCTGACCACACCAACCTCACCACCCGTCCTTCCGAGACCATGCAACAAGGTGCTCACCATTCTCGCACCAGTGGCGCCCAAGGGGTGACCCAAAGCAATCGCACCACCATCCGGGTTAACCTTACCATCCTTCCAAGCCTCCTCAAGACCCAGCTCCCTCAAGCAGTAAATTGCCTGACTGGCAAAAGCCTCGTTGATCTCCCACCTATCCACATCCTTATTCTCCAACCCCAGCTGGCCCAACAGCTTCGGGATAGCCACCGCGGGGCCGATGCCCATCTCATCCGGCTTGCACCCCACCGTGTTAGCAGCCACAAACTTGCCGATGATGCGGTCTCCCAATCCCAACGCCGTGGCCGTGCTCCTCCTCATCAACAGCGTCGCCGCCGCACCATCGCTAACCTGGCTCGAATTACCCGCCGTGCTGGCGCCGTCCGGCTTGAAAGCAGGCTTCAGCTTCGCCATGCCCTCCAGCGACGCCGTCGGCCTGATGCCGTCGTCTTCCGTCACCGTGACAGTCTGAGGTTCGCCCACCTTGTTCCCGGCCTTATCCACCTCCTGGTACTGCGTCGTCACCGGAACAATTTCCTCCTTGAACCTGCCCTCAGCGCGCGCCTGCGCAGCCAACTGGTGCGACTTGACGGCAAACGCATCCTGATCCTCGCGCGAGACACCATACCGGCTCGCGACGTTTTCCGAAGTCAAACCCATGGGCATGACGCAGTCCCGCGCGTCCTTGACGGGACTCTCCTTGAGAGCAGGCCAGTACGAAATCGGGATCGCGCGCGAGCCGTAGTTGCGCGTCATGCTCTCCATGCCGGCGCCGATGCCGACATCGATAGCCTCGGTGCGGATCGAGGCTGCGATGGAGGCGATGGCTTGCAGCGAAGAGGAGCAGGCGCGGTTGACGGTGTAGAGGGAAGTAGACGAAGAATCAAAGCCGACGTGGTTCAGGGCCATGCGGGCGGCTTTGGAGCCGCCAAGCTCGGAGAGGACGACGCCGACGGCGACGTCTTCGATTTTGGATGGGTTGAGCTCGGGGACTTTGTCGAGGGTGGCGCGCAGGACGATGGAGAGGAGCTCTTCCGGGTAGGCATCCTTGAGGTGACCCTTGTAGGAGCGGGTGATGGGAGTGCGGAGAGAGGAGAGGATGACGACGTCAGTGGGCGCTTTGGCTAGGACGGAGGAGAGGCCTTTTGGTAGGATGCCCATTGTGATTGATTTGATGGTTGGCGGGTTTGGTTAACTCGCCGTTGGTGATTTGCTTGGAAAAACGAACCCGTTTCAGTTGCTGTTCGTGTGCTGTGCTTTGTTAAAGGTGAAGACGGCTAGCTAACACGCTACACTAGTCACCGGAGATAGGTAGATGAGACGAAACTGAGGGTATCACGAAACAATACAAAAACTGGCGAGCAAAGACCACGAAGCAGAGAAGAGAAGATGAGTAACAACAGAAAGACGGGAAAACTGTTAGGATAAAAGGAAAGGAAGAACCGAGCATCCGAACACCGCCGGATTAACAAGGACGAGATCGGAGAGCGACTCGTTGCCCGCCCGTCGCGTTGGACAACCGAACGGAGCACGGTGAGAGAGGTTGTCACCCTCGAGGCCCTCTTACACGCCGGGTTCCAAGGTCGGGAATGGAGGAATCATGGGGAAAATGGGGAATTCCAGTGGAGATGACACGCCCGGCAGCGGGGTCAAGGGGACCTTGGGGGGTTCAGCGGCGGCAATGTAACTCGGCAGCAGTGAGCCCGGGGGAAGATCTATAGTCCCACTTTTAGCCTCCTGTTGAAGTTTCCCGTGCACTACGAATCTACCACACAGCAACATCGCAAAGAATAGTGATCCAAGAAGCGGACAGAAAGGGTCTGCGTATCAGCCTTATAAGAGTGAACAAAGCGTTGGTAAAGCCAAGACGCAGTGATGTCAACAGAAAATCAGGGGTAGAACAACACGGGGCAAACAAATAGCAACGATTTGTGACCCCAGAGGAGAACTTGAAACTCAATACACCCTCGTCCAACAATGACAGACTGTACAGAAGTATATGCTCTCGTTCGCTGCATCCAACAGCCCGTTCTTCATACCATGTTGAGAGGCGAAGTTGACTGTCCTCATGCCCCTTTTCTTCCCACCTGGTAAATGCATCGTTCTTTGCAAAGATTGCCGTGAGGCAATACACCATACATAACGATTTCAAGCCGACAATGCTCTCAAACCGGTCCGAAATTCTCCATAATCCAAAGCGATAATCCAACATCAGCCAAGATTGGGACGACAAAAAGCAAAAAATAAGATATCAAACGTCGGTGTTGAGGCGTAATGCAAGCGAGCCAGCAATCTCGACACTATGCGTCTTGGCTGTACTGGATCCCAAGTCCAACCTTGCTCGGATCGCGCAGCCCCCCAACGGTCCTCAGCTTCTTTGTCGGGCTCAACCTATCCCGCAGAGAGAACTCTTCTATTGGGTCACCGTGTCCGGCAAACTTGCGCTTCTCGCCGCTCGACACCCCACTCTTATTGAGCCCGCCAAACAGCTTCGCCTGCAGCTTTGCAGTCTTATCTGCTGGCGCTGGCGTGCCGTTCCGCGAGTGCTCAACCGAGCTAGCTACCTCAAAGCTCTCTCGGGGGTCGCGACGAAGCATCTGCGTCGCAGCTTGGCTGGCCTGGCTCTCAAAGGCTTCCTCTTCTTCCTCATTGGTCGGGTTTCGTTGCATAGGACCCAACTGGTGCTGCGAGCTACGGGAGGCAAAGGAAGCGGCTGCTACTGACTGGAGAGCCTGGCGAGCGAGCTCCTCGTTATCTTCGGCCGAGATTGTGCTTTCCCGGCTCCTGCGTCGGTCTCGGGTCGCAGATCGAACAGGTGTCTCAGGCACATATCGGCTGTGACGGTACGGGGGCTCGGTTTGTGGCACCAGATCAACAGACGGCAGAAGTCCGCCTGTCTCACCACGCAGGCGCTGAGTGGGCGTGGTGGGAAGCGACGACATGGACTGAGCATTTCGCGTATGCCTGGCAGCGTTGTGAGATAACCCCCGAGGGGTCGACGGGGCACTGGTATTTTCCTGGTCGATAGCTTGAAGAAGCATGGTAAAGTTGCCTTTGCTGTGGTCCTTGTCGGCGCGAGCTTGAGCTTCCCGATAGACGGTTCGGGGTGTCGGCCGAGGTGGAGTGTGGTGTGGCAATTGAGAAGGCGCGGTAACCGCAACTGTCTGCCTCCCTATTGTCGCGCCATGGAACATGCCTCCGGGACTGCATAGAATCTGGAAGTGTTCGCGGTTCTCACGAATTCGGTTTAAAAGAAGTTCCCGTTCATCGCAGAGACTGATGTTTTCGTCCTCCTTCTGCTGTATAATTTTTCTGGCAGCCTTGAGTTTTCGGTTCAGGAAATCCACCTCTTCCACCCTTTGATCGTACAAGGCCTTCAGTTGAATGAACTTTGTCTGCTGGGTTTCCGAAGCAGCATCGAGGTCGCGTCGTGCCTGTCGTGTGTGTTCGGCCACTCTAAGCGCTTCAACCTCCCTGCGAGTCATCTCGTGTTCGACAGCCGCTCGCTTCATATCTTCGTCGGCCTGGAGGCTAAGCAAGTTGTATTGCAATTTGTGATGGGCGGTCTCCATCTTCAGCTTGGCATTCTCCGCAATGCACGTCTGCAGCATGCTGCGAAGTTTGTCAATAGACGCGTCGGCAATCTCTTGTGACGCGGGTGGATTGAACTCCAGAGCAGTATTGGCTTCCCTCTTGCTTCCAAACATAGCCGTCGTTGCGGGAGGGGAGAAATACCCAGAACGCTGTGAGCTTGCAAAAGCTAGCGAGGTGGCCGCCCCCGTCCCGGCGGCGTTGGGCATCTGTGAAGAAGGCGGGGGGGTCACAGACGAGGGAATGATAGTATCGACAGGACCCTCTTCGTTGGCCCGCAACGTGAACCCCGAAGGACCGTTATCGACTTCATCTGGCGTGTCAGCGACCTGGGTGGAGGGTATCGTTTCCGGTGATGACGGATTGCGCATGTCGTCGTCCTCTGATATTAGTGCCGGATCCTGGATGAGGCCGAAACGACGGTCGTTGGACATGGCGTCTACCAGCAGCTGTGCTGGCTGTAGTTGCGATTCCTCTGTGTCGGTGGTTGACATTGTCTCGGTTGGCTGTCCAATATCTGCTTCGTCGGTACGTGTAAGGATATCCTCGAATTGGGATCGTCAGACTGGTCGCGCTGTGGTCTGGACCCCCCGTGCAGGGTGACTCGACGCAATGGCCCGCGGTGGTGGATGGCTTGCTATGTCTGAATTACGCGCCGCCCCGCCAAGACTTTTGACTTGTCTCGCTGAAAGATGGGTCAGAGGACGACTCGTAGGCAGCAAGCTCTCCGACACGACCTTGGGTGAAGAGAGAGGGGGAAACACGAGGGGCGGAGAGCGAGGGGCTGAACAAAGGTGTAGTTTCATCAAATTCGGAACCGGCGTCTGTAAGCAGCTACGCGTGTGTATTGCGGGCGCCTTTGTGTCGATTGCGGCAAATGCGTGATGATGTGTGGGAATTGGATTGGAACTTTGAACGAAGGACGAACTCAGAGAGCGATGAGGGGTGGGGAAGCGGGAGATTGTCTGTCCAGTAGCCGTTGATTGTCCGTTGGTTCAATTGTTGTCAAGAGCGCGCGGGCGGGCAGCTCAGCCCAGAGTCGCTGAATGCTGAATGGCAGGCTGTTGCTGTGCTCCAGCAGCAGCAGACCACACAAGCCTTTTCTCGCCCAGTCCTACCGCCTGGCCGTTATGGATGCCAAGCTGTCGAGCTTGACACGGGTGCGGGGAACTTCAACTCCAACCCAGACTCAACCGTGCTGAAAGCGAAAGCGACTGACTTTATGCATCAATATCACGTTTCAATCGTTACTCCAGGACTTTCATGATGTGTCTAAAGAGCGATCGTATAATAATCAACAACCAACGTTCGACCAATGTTTTTAACGGTCCATGCTGACACTGTCGTGTACTTCCACCTCTCCTCGCCCAAACCATATCTCTTATTAAATCAATCAAAGGTTTGATCCATCCTACTCAAATGGACGACAACTTGTAGTTGAAGGCATATCATTCACACGCCCGTGTGGTACCACCCAGATGCTCAACGCCGAATCCAGCTTCTTTGAACTTCAAATAACGCCAGTCCTTCGATAGTCTTGCCGATACGGTAGTCCCTTGGAAGTTGCTGCAAAAACTGCAGGCTGATAGTATATAAGTCTGTCGGTCTGAGGAACACCCATGAGAAGACATTCAAGCAGGATCACATACATCGCTGACGTTACCGCACTTTGATCCCTTTCTGTTTGGATGATCCTGAATCTGTTCACAGTTATACCCAGTAATGCCCCCTCGCCCCATCCTACCATACGCCCTAGAATAAGGGAGAGGACGTGCATGTGAAGCTAAGAAACGCATGTGACAATCATGCATGAGGGCCGTCCGTTCAGGTTCCTCGGACTCGAGCCAGACACCTCGGAGGGTCAATTCTTCTGAGGTTTGGAGCTCGTTATGGAAGGGAAGTGAAGCGGCTGAATCGGTGATGAGTTCTCCTTACATTGCCTGAGTTTCAAGCGCTTGGGACTATAAGCAAAATGCTTGCGATATTGAGCCACTGGATGCGGTGTACAATATCTGACGTCACGGCAATGGATCAAGTCTAGCCCCAGCCCGACTTCCCCTAAGCCCTCCAAAGTCGGAACTAATCAACATCAACACTTGTCACCGTCTCCCCGGATACCGCTGATATACATCAAGTGTTCTTAGCTACCTTTTCATATCCCGTTCTTTCTTCTTTTCTTTCCACTCTTTCGGCTATGTCTATGCCAAGGAAAGCAACCTAATAACCTCAAGATACCCCACGGCAAGTGCCGACCAGCTGATCCTTGCAACGCCGTCCGAACTCCCATCCAAAGTTCGAGGCCCAGACTTTCGACGACTGCACGAGATAACTCGACCATCATTTAGACTCCAACCTATCACACCCTAGAGTCTACCTCAACCACTCAATACCGCTACCTATCTACGTAATAGTAAGCTTACTCAGGACAAAACTAAACTCCTTCGCTCTTTCCACCATGACAAGAAGCGAAAGCTCCAGTATCTGTCCGCCATCAGCCTCAGCCACTCCAGACACCCTTACCGCGCTTCAACTACATGCCTTGTTCGACATTCTCACACATTATGGGACATATTCCGAAGTGGAATGTTTCAAGAATCCGGATGCTATTTCCAAATATGGCTATCCCTTTGCGTCGTCGATAGAGGGTGCCTCCGAGCCCGTCATCAAGAAAGAGTCTTCAGTTCCGCTTCTGGCAACCCTGCTGCGCGCCATTGTCCTTCCGGTGCCAGGAGTCCGCGATCTTCCAACTGATTTCTGGCCACTCGAGTTCCAAGGAATTATGACCAAATTTGGTGAAGCAAACCTGTCCGAGAGCTATGACAAAGGGTCTTTGGGTAGTAGGAAAACCTTGGCCACTGCTGCCTCGGTCATTCACGAAGCTGTTTCCCGGGGTCTTATCGGTGGTCTTCCCAAGGGGTCACCCAGGGACCTAAAGGGTCACTATGACAGGTCGAAAGCACAAGACCTTGTGCGCGCTTGGGAAGACGTATTGCACGAACTTGTCTACGGAAGTCTCGTTGAAACGTTGTTTGATCGTATAGCAGAGAAACCCGACATTGAAGGCCATTCACTCGCCGTGCAGACTGCTGTGGACTATATTATCCTTCAGTATGTGATTCCGCTTTTTATTCTACCCTTCTGTTCTCTTTTACTAATTCACCTTTTCAGCCTTGCGACGTTCATGCACCATGTATTCGTCCTCTCCCCCGAAGGGTCCTATCTGTTACAGATGGTGGCGAGCGTACACAAGATGGTACCTTATTCGGCCATCAAACAAACGTTTCGAATTGGAAATGCAGCCAGCATGATCAATGGGATCACGAAGCTCCTCCTGGCCAAAATGAGTATCGGAGGCCTTACTAACTGGCTCGGGCTGACACAAAATGCGGATGATGGCATGAATCTCTTACAGAGGCAAGTACCTACAGTTTCCATGCAGATGGCAGTCTAATACTAACAGGCGTAGAATCATTTCACTGGTCTTGTCGTGGGACATGGCAGAGTTCCGGAAGGCCGCTGAACGGATAGAAAAGGCCAAGGGTGGTCCCTCTAAGGTCCATATCGCAGTCATTAAGAAGTACGTCGCCAAGTCGAGGGAAGAGCACTTAAGGATCCGGAACATCAGCATAAAGCGGTCCGAGTCCATTATTGCCACCATCTTCAACAATTCCCGCCGTGGGCTTGTGGAGTCCCTGTCCAAGGAACAGCACGAGCAATGTCTGGAATACCTCTCAACCTTGCTTGCAATTCGAGACCGGGATGAGATCATCAAGATTCTCTGCAAGCAAAACCCCGATCTCTTCACCCAGGCCGTACGGGACTTTATCGGCAGTTTCGAGCCCATGATACGAGCTGTTCACCAGAACATTGACCTTCGCGATCACGTCTCTGCAGCAGAAAGCTTCCTAACCGACCTTATCGAAACAAGCAAGGCGAGGGATTCTCCAGTGGCGATCTCCAGCACATTAACAGCAGAAACAACGATCGAGACCCGCGCTCCTTCCATAGAGGACTACGTCGGCTTGATTAGGAGACATAAACAATCGGCCTACAACTTTTTCCACCAGGTGGCCAAGAACTGCCCTGAAATCAAGGGGGAATTCCTCGAGTATTGCAAGAAGACGCTGGCGCAGTTCCGTCAGCAGCCCGAGCAGCAACCACTATCATGGGCCATTCCCTCAAGCGACAGTAGCAGCCAAGCAATCGACACCAAGCTCCGCAAGGGAGCAGCCGGAAGTCTAAGCGCCGATATCCAGTCGCTTTTCACCGCCCTCCCTCCCCAAGTAAAACCCGACGTCCTCGCAGCAGCAGACGCCCACGCGGCCTACCTCTCCTCCCTCGAAGACCTTTCTCTCAAGCGAATGCAACACATCCTCAACGACATGAACCTCACGACCCCCACCGTGTCCTCATTACCAGAAGTCGCAACAGCAGCAACAACAACTTCTTCCTTAAGAGACAAATTCTCCCTATCCGCCAGCTCCCCCTTTGGTTCTCGAGCCCCCAGCAGGCGAAATAGCAACAGTAACAGCAACAAGAAAGCAAGCATGTGTGGCCCCGGCATGTTCCTCTCGCGCTGGCAGAGCCTGATGGACGAGACGCTCATCACCCCCCAAGTTCCCACAGGCGGCCAGGTGCGGCGCGGCAAGGACGTCAAGGGGGTGATTGCGCAGGCGAAGACGACGGTGGGCAGCAGCGCCGTTGTGGCTAGTAGTAGTACGGATGGGAACGGAAATGGGGCTGCATGGGACTCGGCGGCGCTGACGAGGTTGGTGGAAAGGGAGGTGCCGGAGCCGCCTGATGTTCAGGTAGTGGTGAAGATGATGGGGAGCGGGTTTGGGGAGGTGGTGGAGAGGAGGATGTTGGAAAGGATAGAGGTGGTGATCTAATGAAAGGATGGATGTGGATCATAAGCATTGGGTTCGGGCGTCGTAATCACAGTCAAAACATAATCATACGTGTAATAGAATTTGTGGAAGAGGGAAAAGACTTGTTTTGTTTACATCTAATCCATATCTCTCCAAAGGGGGAAAGTGCCAATGGGCGTCATGGCGAAATAAGAACAAAACCCCCCGAAACTCCGAAACCCAAAGCTGCCGTTGTTTCCCTGAAATCAAGAGAGAGACCACTCTTTGTCGGCGCCCATTCCATTGCTCCAGGCGAGATTCCATCAAGCAAGTACGTTGGTATGTCGGTCGGTTATGTCAGGCAGGCAAAGGTCTTCCAACCTTACGCGCTGTCGCTGCGACTAGTGATTTGGAGAAAGCTCATGGTCGCTCGGGTACGTGGTTGCATTGAGCAGTGCGAAAAGGTAAATTTACTTGCTGCCGCAGTTGGAGCAAGAGCCTAGAAAGTTTCGAATGTTAGTGCCATGCCATGCCAGTAGTTGAAGATGGGATCGGTCTGCGACGGGGGAGGAAGTAAAAAAACTTACAGCCAGAGCCGCAGTTGCAGGAAGAAGCGCCGGAGCAGCCGCAGTCACCCATTTTGATAGAAGTGGTTGTTCTTTTGAGAGGAATTGAGTTGTTGTTGTTGTTGTTGTTGTTGTGTAGGTTGACGAAAGACTGATGTTGTCTTTGTGAATGTTTCAATGCAGTGATGATGATGTAGTTCGTTGATGACAAGTAAAGGAATTCGAAAAGAAGTCAGGGTCCCGTGGCTTTATATACCCTGAATGATGCCTACTGTACCTTGTTCCTGTTGTCACGTACTGCTACGCACCGTTCGGAACTGTGACTGTGACTGTCTGTTACCTTCCATTCCACGACACGGCATGGCATGTTAGCGACGATCCGAGCCTATCGGGGACGTCCGCCTGCACGGGTTTGCGATATTTGTGCCGTAGCGGCTGCATCAAGAGTGGAGTGGAGGTGTTCGCTGCCGTGGTGGCTGCGTCTTTTGTGCGGCGGCGTTCTGGGCCACCTGCTTGGCACTCAGTCAGGTCAAGCTGGTTCAACGCGGCGAAATACCCTCATCGTACCGTACAGTGTAGTGTACATACATACAGTATGTAAGGCGATGACGATAGAGATGGTTGATTTCCAAAGCGTGAATGGTCGCAATGTTCATGTGATGTCTCAGAACCTGCAGATCAGTTTCTAAGGGTCTTCCATCACGCCCGAGATGATGCTAGCACGTTGCCCGATGGATGACGACTGACAATTTAAGTCAAAGTTGTGTGGTTGTATGTATGTATGTACAGTACTTCCGCCGCTTTGTGTAGTGTCAACGCTACGCAGTATACTTACATAGTACACCAGTACTTGTCGTCCATTGCGATATTTGTGCCGGCTACATTCCGCTCTGGTCGCTCGAACGAGTGCCATTGATTTCTCAATGACTATTAAGCTGGGGTATTACAAGCCAAATAGCAAGGTGCCTTATTCTTACAATGAATGTGAACTGCTCATTGCCTGAGTTTTGATGATGATGATGCTGCCACTGACACCTCATCGGGAGCACCATGACTTCACTTCGGCGGTAGGAGCTACCTATCGACCGGCCAATTCCCAGCACCTGCCGATTCTTCAGGGGTCGAGACTCGCCTGAAGCTCGCTTGGCTTTCAGAAGGAGATGCCTGCCCTAAAGATTTGTGGACCCAATAATGTAACCGTGTTAGTGCATCGGCACACCTTTCCGCTTCAAAGTTAGCATCAGTGCTTCATCCTTAACAGTCAGATGCAGCTGACACGCACGGACAGTACCGATAAGATAAAGTAGCGTCGAACCGAGAAGGTCGCTGCCTGCCGCGTATCAACTCGTCAGTTCCATGGATATTCAACCCGCGTGTTTGTGTTTTCGTCCTCAGCAAATCCCTTTGTGTCTGTTCGACATTGTTTACCACGGAAGGGTATTGCTCGCCTACTTCCAGGCGGGCACAACTAACATAGTCCGCTGCTATCTAGTCCGCCGCCATCAACAAACTCACGATTGCTGCACCAAATCACAAGTGTCGTGATGTCATCAAGCCAAAGTGCACACTGTCAATGGCACAATTCTATGAAAGCCGTGGGGTATATAATGAAATCGCTATGCTGGTAGCGAGGCTTGCGAAGCTGTATCAGGGGCAGTATGGGGCCGTTGTTGGGTTGGCAAAGCTAGACGTTTGGATATGGCATCCCGACTTCACCAAATGACACTCGTTTAAGATATTGTCCCAACGCCCGAAAACCATCTGATACCGAGGGATATCATAATGGTAGGTATTCGGGTTTCTGGGAAGCTGATCTATCGGTTGTCGTACGTTTCTAGGCCGAGCTCGGCATCTTGAAACACTTCGAGTTCCGCTCCGTCACTTATCGACTCATGCCCGTTCTTGAGACGGCAAAGACGTTACGACTCAGTCAAATGTCAAATTTTGCTCTCACATAAACTGGTCGAACAACTTTGATAAAAAAAAAAAAAAAAAAAAGTCGAAAGAAGCTGGCGAACCACTTCCATCATACATTAATTCCGAAGCAAGCAAAGATATCTCGATCAAAAAAGCAATTATCTACAGCCATGTCCTCCGCACCACGCAGGTCCAATTCAACCTGTCCGCGCCCCGGTAGCAGTAATGGTGCCCATGCCTTTCCGACACCATCCGGCAATAACGGACGACGACCTAGTCAATATCAACAAACAACGTCGAACCGCCGAGAGGATTGGAGAACAGATCCACGAGACAACGGGAGACGACGAGGCCAATATCAACAGTCAACATCGGAGCGCCGAGAGGACTGGAGGACTGATCCACGAGCTCAGCAAACACCAGAGCAACGAGCACCACCATTATTTAACAACTCTGCTTCCCATGCTCAGAGAACAACGCCACACACCAGACCAGCACCACATCGACCCTCAGAGCAGAGATCGCCCCCGAACAACCCTAGATCGGCTCCTCGGCGGCCATCAGCAAATAATCGATCAGCTAATAATCGGTCTTCTCCCCAATCCGGCCCAAGTTCGAACAACAAGCCATCACGCCCTGATGAAGCCGCGATCAAGACGCAGATGAATCAGACATTATCCATTGCCATGATTGCAAGTCCCGCCAATCCTATACCCTTCCCCCTTCCGCTGCCCCTCGGACTTGCAATGCTCCTTGTCGGATCCAGCAAGAACGGCAAGTAATGGGTTGAACCTGAGAACTTGGGAATGGCCGCTCCTACACTGTTCCAATCACAGCATATGGAAACGTATCTCCTTTCGTCCTTCGCCATCTCGTCCAACTTCGAGCGAACGCAATTCCACATCGAACTTCAACCCAGAAACTTGCACCGATCGTTTGTTTGACTCCTCGACAGGCGTTTTGGCCACTGCATCTCTACTTCCTGACTCAGGACCACACTCCCTATCCACCACTACTACTTTCGAGTCGACTTTCAGTTCCACTTTCACCAGTTGCTCAGTCCCCGGCCGCCCAGGACCAGCCGGTCCAGAAAAAGTACTACCTCTCCTATCCGCAAGCTGCCACCGACCAAGTGTCGGACTAAGCTCCATCTCCGCTTCCGGCGCCGGTGTCCCCTCCCTGGATGCGAGTCGAAGTTCCAGCCCTTTCTTTATACCCTTCTTCCTTCCCACTGTCCCCAACTCAACCGTAGCAAGGGTAGAACGCGAAGGTACCGGTGGCCGCCAGTCTTCCCCCGGCACCGCGTTACCTGCTGGTTTAAATACTCCGTCAGCCTTGCTTTCCGCTTCCAAGATTTGGCCTTGGCTGATACTGCCAAACCTCCTCCATCTTGCCCGAATACCTTGATCACTTTCCCTCGGAGAAAATAGAGAAAGCACTCCGTTTCCTAAGCGAGCGGCTACTAGCTCGCTGACGGCGGTCTCTACGGCCTTTTCAACGCTGATCATGAAGGAAGCCACGTCTAGTCCGTCGGCCATCTCACCACGGTCAGCGTAGCTGGGCTGGAACTCATCGAGGTCCAGCTTCGACAGGCTGTAATCGCCTTTGGTCTCTTCGGCTGGCTCTTTTCCTGGTTCCTCCACTTTCGGTTCGGGGCTCGGGTGCTTGATGCTTGACGCGACCTTCTGACGTTTCGGGCTCGGGGTTTGAATTGGTGTCAGTGGTAGTGACGGTGGCTCGGCTTTGCGCTTGGCTGCCCTGGAAGGTTGGACGCGTGTTGGTGTTGACTTGTTTGGGGAAGGTGATGGTGTTTGAAGTTTCTGAGGGTTTTGACGGATAGGGGTGCTCGCCCTCAAGGCGATAACCTTCCGAAGATGGTCATCTTCAAAGTCTGAGTATTGAGACTCCGTGGGGCTCTCGACAGACTCGGACGTCAAGCGGTCGTCAGACAGATCGATGTCGTCGGAGTCAGCAGCAGCGGCAAGTGTGCGCTTGGTAGCCACTGGCCGTGTGACGGCCATCGGTCTGATCATGATCTTTTCGAGTTCCTTCTCCTCTTTCTCTTTCTCTGCCTGTTATCGACGATCGTTAGTCAGTCATGTCCGTCATCGCCACTGCTGCAATCCCCCTTCTCTCCCATCGTGGTTTCAGTCCGCACTCACCTCACTCTCAACCAACTTCCGATGCATGCAACGATCAACCTCGGCTTTATACCAAGCCTTCACCCGCTTGTAGAACTCCTTGTCGCCCTTGTAGACGGCACCCTTCTTGAGAGCACCCAAGTCGTGCTCCAGTGCTTCTTCGCTGAAGAAGTACTTGCCGATCGGCAATATAGTTTTCGCTGGGCCGCCGTGGCCTTGCTTGCATGGTGGGTTGAGACGGCAAGCGTGGTGCCTAATGGCCTTTCTTTTGGAGGTTGGTGTCTTCTTCATAGTGGCTTGAAGGGTGCGAGGATCCTTGATCTTGGCTTTGGTCTTGGGGTAAGAGGAGGGTTTTGCTTTCGGTTTGGGCGTCATGTGGGAGTATGTCGGATCTGAGGGCGGAGTGACTCGGGGATGGTGAGTGCGAGTGGTGGATGGTTTGTGATGATTCTGCGCGGCACAGCTATCTTGGGATACGGTGTCGTCTGAGGGCGAAGTAACTCGGGAAATGGCGAGGATAAGCGATAGATGATCCGTAATAATTTGTGGTGGAATGGAGACCAGGAAATGTACGCTCGGTAGAGGTAGCTATCCCGCAGAACCAGACTCGGGGAATACGCAGGTGACTGCAAAGTAAAATGTGCAATGCAGCGGCTTGTGGACAACGTGCCTGGGAGTTGCGTGATGGTGCTCCAGACCATGGGGGAGGGACACAGAAAAAGAACAATAAACCGACTTTCGAGACCTCCATGTCATTGTCAGATCTTGTTCAAGAGAGCATCAGCCGGTCCTCAACGATCAAAGGGGTAGATGCTGAAGTGCACACGAAGAAATGGGGGTCTATTGAGACGTGGCGGCCTCGGGCCTGAAACAAAGGAATCGAAGAACAACTTCTAAAATCCCATACCCTTCCTTATTAATCAAAAGTAGTACTGGGATGACTTGCACGTCGAAAGGTTAGTCGCTTTGTCCTCCGTTGGTTCACACATCTTGCCATATCCGGGCGACGCCATTCGGTGCGATCTTTAGAATAGTTGGAGAAAAACGATCGAAAGGCGCGACAAACGCACTGCGATCCGTATATTGAATCGTACACATGGGGGAAAACCAGATGAAAGGCACAAGATCAATTGAAATCAGGTGAAATGAATATCTTTACCAAAACGACAAACCAAAGCAAATCTGCAAGTCCATTATGGCGAGTTTTCGTAGTCGGTCTGCAATGGCACGCCACCCCCTATCTTTGCCAGCAAGTCCACTGGAATTAGGCTTGTCAGGAGTGGCCAATTGCAATATAATGAAGATTACTCGGCAAAAGTTCCAACAGCAACAACCAACCAGCAATGGCTCAATGGTCTAGTGGTATGATTCGCGCTTCGGGTTAATCACCCTCATGGTATCCATGAATGTGCGAGGTCCCGGGTTCAAATCCCGGTTGAGCCCCAATTTTTTGATCCTTTTTTTTTTTTTCATTCTCCCCCTCGGTGAGAGCTTGGTCATTCGTAATATAGAAGGGATTTGCGATTCTTTGAAGGGCATTTGAGTTTTTAGTCTTGTTTTTTACAGAGTTGAGGAGATTTTAGAGAAGGGTAAGTAAGGTTGGTAATTCTACTTGTATAATCATTTCGCTATAGAGAGTCTTAGTTCATATAAGTAACTATTAGATTGGTAGGTACATTACTATTCTGCTAGCTTTCCTTTTTGTTTATTTTTCTTTTTTCTCCTCTTCTTCGTATATTCATTCGACTAACATTACGCAGTTCCAGATCAGCTAGGTAACATGCACTGTCCAGTGACGAAGCGAGTTTGATTCTATCTCGTCTGACTGTCCGAGAGGAACAATTTGTCAAAACGAGACAGGCAAGCTGCTTGCTTTTCCGGGCGGAATTGCGATCCTTAGCGATATACAAACAGACGTATAGATATAGAAATGACAGTGACAACTTGCGAGTATGTAACACATAAAGTCCGGACAATGGATGGCTCCGAAGTCTCTCCAGACGAGGCAACCAGCGATGGCGTTTCTGCGCTTTCAGTTTTCGAATGCAAAGACATTCGTTGACCACAACATTGCGAGCCTGTTCCATCACACAAATATGCAAAAACATGCTCTTCCAAATATTTCCATAGATCTGTCATGGGTCTCACATATGCATGAGAAAAGAAGGAACTTGCTGTTGGGATTGACGAGTGACAGCCGAGTTTTGCGTCCACCAAAGATGCCAAGAAATGCCAAGACATGGTGATGGCCTCAACTGACAACCGCCCCGGCAGTACCATCAACGGATTGATGAGTGATGAAAGAGGTAAGGTGTACTTCGCTCGTAATGGGGTAAAAAGATGCTAGATCTTCACGGCGGACGCTAAGTGGTTCAATCTTGTTTATTCGATCTGTTCGTGTCCTAAAGTGACATGTACAACATCCAAACTATTCAGTCTCCCCATCCGATCCCCGTCCCGTCCCGTTCCGTTCCTGGGTATCCCATCCCCAATAGTCTAACCTAGGCCATCTATCTCCTGAGTTATCCCGTTATGTATATAGCAGTAGGTATATATTGTTCATCCGTTAGCCTCACTCCAATCCCATCCTGACCTCATCCCCAAACCCCCAACTGCCTGCATCTTTCCCGGCATCCTGCAACGCCAATCTAGTTTGCGTCCCAAACGACGACACCACTTCATCCTCCTCGTTGGTCTTTGCCGCCATCAGCGTGGATTGCGGCGCTGGTGATGACCCTCTTGCCGCTGCTGTCGTTGGTGTTGCCGTATTGCTATTGCTTACGGCGTTGCTGTGACTCGACCTCCTACTCCTCGCGTAAGAATTGTTATTACCACTGTTATTTGAAATCGTTCTTCGACTGATGCTGCTACTGCGACTCTGACTTGATGGAACAAATAAAGAGTGAGAGGAGAAGTAGGGCGTGGTACTGGGGCTCTGTCCGCGACCTTCGTGACCTGCATAACTGCCGCCGCCGCCGCCACCACCACCGGAGGAACTTGCTGATGGGCTGCCGGTGGTGGTGGGGGCAGTGCTAGTGTCGGTGAAATTCCGTCTTTGTTGTCCTCCGGTGGAAGAACCACGACCACCCCGGATGGTGACAGCGCTGGAAGCACCGCTGGTCGGCGACTTACCGAATAAAGCACTAGAAAATCGGTGGGACCTACTAGTACTGGACGTGGAAACCACCGAAGCAGCCTCGTCTCCTCCTTCCGTTTCTGCGTCTTTATCTTTGCGGAGTTTATCCTTCATATCCATTCTGCTTTTCGTCATATCTTGCGCTTGTATCCTTGCTAAGCTGTCGACCGCGCTTTCGGGTGTGGACTTCTTCAGCTTGATCGACGTCTTTCTAGGGACGGCGGTAGAGGGTGAAGCAATCTCACCCGACGCGGCTAGTTGATCGGAGAGCAGCGATCGGGGTTGTGCCCGAGCACCTATTCCTGGTCCGGGCGCCGGTGTCGCGGTTGGTGTAACTGAATCGGCGCTGGAGTTGCCGTTGGCGGATCCGTTCACAGTATAGTTGTTTCCTTGTTGGTCAACTATCGCATCCTCTGCCAACTCTTCGATCAGGGCATCGTCTGCTTCCACGAGCTCGGCATCGCGATACCACTTTCTCCTTCTTGTCCAGCGTCCCCAGCCGTCTTGACCTCGGCGGCCATTTTGCCACTGCGTCTAGGTTAGCACGGTGTGCCTGTTTCTCTTGTTCTCGAAACAAATATCTCCAGAAACGGAAAGAACAAACCTTGTTATCATAGTAAACCCAGCCCATACGCCCCCCAGGGCTGTCATAATCCCACTCTTTTCCATCCGCGTCTTCTCCAGGCATGACAGCCTCGTCAGGAACTCCATCGACTCGCCATCTCGATCCTTCGACCCAGCGCCAGCGCATGTTACTACCGTCCTCGACCTCGGGAAGCTCAAACTGGTCTCGCGGCGGGACCGCGTTGTTGTGCTCGTCGGTCCATGCCGGCCTTTCATACGCAAACAGACTAGTAGTCCATCCCAGACCGACCCACCGACGCTGGTTCTCATAGATGATGAAGGTAAAGCGCACGCCTGTGTCGTGTCCGCCGCGGGCACGTCGAAGGGCCTTAGTAAGCTCAGACTCCTGCGCGTTATACGCCTTTGTACTTTTGATGTTGGCAAATGTCTTCTTGTTCGCTGAACTGCCGCTAGCAGTGGATGCGGCTGATGATGCAACACCACTCTTCTCAGCAGGAGAAACCTTGACGGGCTTTTCGAACTGCAAGCCAGTGACTAATTCCAAAAACCTGCGAATAGAGGCGCTACGCCATAGAATGGCGCGAGATACACGCATAACGCGGGAATGCCAAGTTAGGATGAGAGTACCAAAGATCAAGATAACCCGGCGTGTAGTAATCAGACGGAAAGGTGGAAGCGTCAGGGCGAACCAAAACGGGGTACAGAGAAGGATCCGGATGAAAAGTGTCGTCAGCGCGGGTTTTGTGGTGGCCGATGTAGGTGTTCGCTGAGTGCTGAGGAAATCCGTGAGTTCCAGCATAGGTTCCAGCAGAATGTTGCAGCGCGCCGTGAACTCCTTAAGTGTCTCGACAATCTCGTCCAACGTCTTCTGGTGCCGCGTGTTTGTCACTTCGGATACAGACCCTTGGTTCCTCAGTTGTCCGCCTCCCCCAGCGCCCGCTCCCACGCCACCACCGAGCCCGCCATTGGCCTTGCCATTCTTGTTGTCCGGGAGCCCGTCGACGGAAAGGTTCTTGCTCTTGGGAGCCTTCTTGCCCCTAACACTCCCTTTTCCATCTGTCCCAGCGAGCGCCGCCATGTCTCCAGCCGCCACGCCTGGCTCGGTCCAACCACTGCTGCTCAGCGGGCTGTAGCGCCGGCCGTACATGCCACCGATCAAGAGTAGGACAAGCACGACGGGGCCGGCGACCCGGACAATGATGTCACCATATAGGACGGCAGCCCAGAAGACCGCAACCATTAGGAAGCTTTCCCAGGGATCGCGCGTCGTCCATGTTATCAGACCGGCAAGCGTATTCAAGGGTAGGAGGAACGGATGGCTATAAGCCAAAGCGCGTGTAATCTGGGGTGGTGTCGCGAGGAGAAGCGGCGACTTTTGGTGGACGAGGATGGTACTCCTCCTCTTCGCGGCGGAGGTGGCGCTCGGCGCGGTCGAGCTTAGGGTAGCGGGCGAGAAGGAGGCATGGGTCGGGTTCGGATTGCTTGCGGTGCCATCATTCGAGTATATGATGCCCTTCGGCTGGTTCGAAGGGGTGGATGGGTGAGAGTTCAGCGCATCGCCGCTGCGCTGAGGCTGAGGAGCGGACATATGCGAAAGCCAGGGAGGATCCTGTATGTTGATGGAGGAAAGTGTCAGTCTTGTACTGTCTAGCTATCCCTAGCGGGAATGGTGATGCAACGATAGGGTCATGATTCGATCGAGGTGCGCAGTGAAGAGGGGCGGCGCAGCATGGTTGTCGCTGTGTCGCCTTGGACTGTAGCCTTGATGGAAGGATGACGATGGCCGTGGTTGGGGGTGCTGATGATGACGACGGGCTGGATTGGGAGCTCTTGGAGCTGATTCGGCGGCAGCGGGAATCGCCGACAGACCTTTCTATTTGAAGGAGATCGCTGGCCAGGGGGGGCCTGGCAAGGATGCCTGGTACTATTGAGATGGCGGATCGATCTTCAACAGGACAGAGTCTTATGCACGACGATGGGGTGCCGTCGGGAAGATGTTTGTCTGGCGCAACCTAGGCCGTATAGTAGGTAGGTGGTGATGGTAGCACAGAGAAGGTAGATAGGATAGTGATAGGTAGGTAGGTTGGTAGGGACAAGAGGACAAGGCAAAGAGCCCGTAGGAGTAATGTTCAGGGTATGTAAGAAAGGGCAGAACTCACGAATGCAGCCATGAATCAGAAGCAGCCGCAGGTAGAGGGGGGAGGAGGAGGAAGAGAAGGAGGAGGAGGAGGAGGAGGGAGAGGGAGAGGAGAAAGAAGAAGAAGGATAATGATGATGACGATGATGATGATGGCCGGAACTGATGGTGATGATGGTCGTCGTTTGTGTACGGTTTGCTCTCCGCACGCAAGCCCAACGGAAGGTAGCACGCGCCCATGAATGGCTCCCTCGAGTCGTAGCCCAACGTCATAGGCTGCGAATGTGCGCCCCGACCGTCTTCCCCAGGCTTTTGGATTTGTGGTGGTTCGCGGTTCGCGGTCAGATCAATGGAGTCGGGTCGGGCGCTAGGAAACAGCGGAGATGCGCACGTGGTTAGCTGGGGTTCAATACACTATTCGTGTTGTAGTGTAGTGTACAGTCAGGTCGTGCGGTCAAGGATATTTAGTATTCATGATAAGAGGTAGGTGTAGTAAGAAATGTTGGACGAAGTAAAGAGGCGCAAAACCAAGGAGAAACGAAGAGCGGTAGGGGGAAAACGGACGAATTTTTGGTCCATTGGGATGGATTGAATCATGGAAGTGGACAGACAACTGAAAGGTCCTTTGGTGCCGCTGTCAGACAGAATCATTCCACGTGAGTTCCTTCTTACGATCTCGAGATGGCATGGACCTAAGTAGGTAGAGGTAGTGGTGGGGCCTGGAAGACGGAATACCTACGGCGGTCTCGAGCGGAGCATCGGGGCGGTCTAGCACTTCATGCAAAGAAGCATTAGCACCCGCGATTACAGGTATCTCGTCACCATGATACATAGGTATCTCTCTATAGCGGCTGCCTTGCTTCATCCTAGGAACAGGGCAGCGGAGGACGAGTGCTATTTGGCTTTCCTTCAGTTCCTGCTAGGTACTTCCCGCTACAGGGGCGGATGGACGGAAATCACATGCAAATTGTTCCTGGCCTCATATCCATACCTGCCTAGGCACAATCCCGCTCACCATATGTAAAACCTCCGGCATTTGAAGCACGCTGTCGACCGAACATACCCGGCACAGGACCCTGCTGGTGTCCTCCTCCGACAATGATGTCACATTTAACTTGAACACGAAAACACATTTGTGCACGCTATGCACTTTTCTTTCGTATCTATAATTGCTTCTACTGAATCTGTGAATCTGTAAGTATAGTTTATATTGCCCGAATATGTGCATTTCATGCCCGCGAAAAAGAGTGGGGGAGACCCAACGTGTTGCCCCCCTGTAGCACTGTAAATCCGTTTCTTCCAACGTCCTGCCTTTTCACACCTATCGTTTCAAGGGCGTTAGAGGGTGGAGACATTCAAAACCACATTTTGCACACAACGAATCTCTAGTAGAGGTAGGCATGAATGTTGCAGTAAGCTAATGGACCATGCTGGATTTCCCTAGAATTTAAAAATCAACGCTCCAAATCTTTGCTGTAAAGGCAGGGCGAGTGCCCAGCACAGACGCAGCCGTCCACACTGGCTCGACGGGCCGAGGCTGGTACTAAAGATGAACCCAGGTAATCCTACGAGAACCCATATAAAGATATGCCTTTAAAAAGTCTCATAACCCGTGATATGTACCTTGAAGGAACCTTGACCAGACCGTTAACCTCCCATACCCAAATGTTGTTGGTCTCCTCAGGTACTATTTGGCAAAAAAAGCCATGACCCTAGCGACCAACCAGAACCACATCATCTCGGCGGGCCGCCCTGTTCTCCTTGGCCTTGACCGTCAAGCGTCGTCCGTTGACACTCCTAGCGCAGGCGCGCCTAATTCTTGCCGGTCTTATCATCACTGAAATAAATTCTCCCAACGAGACCGGACGAGGATTGAACATTTATTGGAAACTAAAGGGATCAATGTCAGTTAGCGGTCATCAGTCAATGAAAACAGGAACCCAAACCACTCACCTCTTGTTAGAGTATGCAATGCTCGTATTGACCCCCCTCAACCATCGACAGAATCGTCTCGCCTGCACCCGCCCGCTCTCTACCATTTTAGTGTCCGGATTTACGAATCGATCAAACGTCAAGACCACCGTCCTATCTCCACTGCCCTCACGCCCCTTCTTCAATATAATGGTCACGATCGTCTTCGCGTTGGGGCTTGATGGGCAATTCTCGACGATGACCTTGGCAAACTTGTTGGGATCGATCTCGAACTTGTATGGGCAGTTCTTGTACGGGAGACCGGGCGCTGTGGAAGCAATCTTGGTTTGGTTGCATGCTATCAACCGGACTGAGAGCTTGTCCTCCGTAGCGCCATTGGTATCTACGTTCCAGCTGCCCTTTTCGATGGTCACTTCAAACTTCTCGTTCTGATTCTGAGGCTGCGTTGTCTTCGCCGTCGTCGTGACCCCATTCTCGGGTTTGACAAAGGTTGCCGGCTTGACGGGCGAGGGCTTGACGGGCGGGTTGTGGATTGAGGTAGACGTAGGGGCGGGGACCTCAGTTGGAGAGGTAGTACGCGAGCTAGCTGTGCTAGAGTCTGGCGTCGGGCCTGCCGTTACCAAGGGAGCCGGGGCCGCCGCCGCCGGTGAAATCGCTGCCTTTGTCAAGTGCGGAGTGGGCGGCTTAGATGACTCTGGCGATCTGAGGCCTGTGCCGTGACCCTTCATGTTTTTGGGGCCTGAACTGACCGACTTGGGCTGTAAAAGTTGAACCGTAGCTGCTACCGCTTCCCCGGAGCTACTAAGCTCCAAAGCAATCTGGTCGACGATGCGCTCTAACCGTTCATTCTCCTCCTTGGTACCCTCTTTCGATCCGACTCTATCTATCAGAGCCCTTAGCTGAGGGTCGGTCTTGGCGATTTCCGCCAACCGTACCACGGCCAGAGGAATTGGTGTATTTACAGTGCTAGAAGCAACGGGTGTTGACATTGTGGGAGCTGCCGCGGCAGTTGGTGGTGTTGCTACTGCTGTCGGAGCAGCTGGAGTCACATCCTCTGTGGTAGTTTGTGCCGAGGGGTTAGAGACAGCCGCAGAAACAGGTTGAGGTCGAGGCTGTGCTGTTTTTGGTGCCGCTGCCGCTGCTGGAATTGCCGGCTTCTTTGTGGGTTCTGGGGCTGCCGCCGAAACAGATTGGGATCGACGCGCAGCTGCTGTTGGCTCAGTTGATGCGGTTGGCTCCGTTGATGCTGTTGGCTCCGTTGATGCTGTTGGTACTATTGATGTTGTTGGTGCTGTTGGTGCCGCTGCTGCTGCTGCTGCTGCTGCTGGGGCCGAGTTGGATTCCAGGCGAGGTTGTTCTGCATCACCGGTTGTCGCACTGCTAGCAGTCGTGCCAGCCTCAGCCTTGTTTAGACTTTCCCAGTGCTCGACGGCCTTCTGAAAATAGGGTATCTGACGCCAGTCCGGGTCATCAAAGTCAAACGCTGAAATATCCTTGATTGAGAGCCAGCCAAACGACCTGAGGATATGGTACAGCAATGTTAGTTGACCGGAACAACGGCCCAGGTTCGGCTTCGAAATAGAACTTACATGTCTCGGTCAAAATACATGACCGGAACTTGCCTAAGCTTGACTAAAGGCCCGCCATCCTCGTATCCCGGGGCCCACCCTTCGAACTTTATCTTTCCTGCTGTTTTGTCAAGTTTATAGCAGAGAGGCACAGTCTGCAAGAGCTTAGTATCCTCCAACGTCTTTTCAAGTCCGACTGAACTCAAGTCTGCCTCTTTCACCGGCAATACCATAACAGGATAATGCCGCTTGTCTTGATTCCAAAACCCTTTGTAGAGGCTAGCTGGTTTGGGATTAGGGATGAGGACAGCTGAGCGCGTGCTGCGATCTGACGGTGTCCGTATGTGTGAGCTCTTCCGTCGATCTTTCGCTGGACTAGGGGTAGAGGTATCTCGAGACGAAGGTGGTGCCATCGCCGGACTAGCTGTTTCTCGAGCTGGAGGCGGTGCCATTGCCGGACTAGCTGTTTCTCGAGATGGAGGCGGTGCCATTGCCGAAGGCGCTTCAGCGGCTGGTGAGGCTAGCGAAGGTATGGGAGTGGAAAAGGAATTAGCAAACTCGGGATTCGCCTCCACATATCGCGCTCGTTTTCCCACGCTTAGTTGAAGTAAGTTAACCGGCTTATAGCCGTTTGCAGCAGCTTCTTCGACCGCCGTGTTGTTCCTCTGTACCAGTTCTGCATTACACCCAATGACGCGAAAACCTAGCGTGTCAATAGCAACGCTATAGTTCTTTGACTGGTGGTCATGCATCTTGCTTGCTAGGTGCTTAGCAGCTCCCGCAAGAGGATTGGCTCCAAAGTGAACTCCATGGTCATCACACTTGAGAATGTAAAATTCTCCGCTCTCGGGAGGGTACTCGACTATAATATGCTTGAACTTAGCATCGCCTTCTTGGTACACCTCATCGAAAGTGATGGATCGTTTCGCGGATGGGCGCTTTGCCGGTTGCTCGTTTGCGATGTTCTCGTTAGGAGACTGAATCTCTGTAATAGGGCGCTTGTTTGATAAGTGAGAGACAGGAAGTTTTGAGGGCATGGGAATGGGTGTTCCAGCCTTGGTGTCTAACGACAGCCTCGATATTGGCAGCTCCGTAGGTGGCGTAGACTAGATAACATCGTGTGATCAGTATACGGCCAAGATAGTCGTGAACTCGTTGAAGGATCAAACATACACCTACAGAATCTTCTTCTATGTCGAATGGTAGCATTCTCCATTTCTCGTTCACGGCGGAAACCTTTTCAATAAACCTTTTCCGGTCATTCTCCAACCTTTCCTCGTAGTTTTGAGTAGCTTGACGCAGATAAAAGTCTCGCTTGTCTTCAATGAACTGCGTGAGATCTGGAGGTAGAGGTGCTGTACCGAGGCTTTTCTGGAGCATTGACCTTTCCTCGAGCCTTCTGTTCTCAATCTCATTTTTCGCTTTCTGCAGCTCCTGCAATGCATTGTGCTTTTCGGTCTCGAGCTCCTTTTCGAGCTCGTCTACCTCTCTGCTGAAGCGAAAATGAAGCTCATAGGCTCGATAACGATCCATTTTGCGCCGAGTGTCAACCGCCTAGCCGTAGCTGAGAGTGTATTCGGTGGGCGGTTGGTCACGTCGTGAACGCGTGTGAAGGGTAGTATGTTCCCCTGGGGCGTTCCTTCCCGATCGCCTGCGCTGAGTACAAGGTCCCTCCAGTAGGTACTTGGTGTCGCGTGGAAAGCTGCGACTCGCGAGCTGATGTTGTTGGAGACCGGAAGTTGAGGCCAGCTAGATGGGGCTCGAGTGAATGCAATCGATGTGTGTGTGGTCTAGATTGTGCAGGTTCTCCGTCTCCGCTTGGAGATAAACCGCGTGTAACCGTATAAAGGTTTTGAGGTTTAAGAACATGCCTGGAAGAAAGGAAAGCGATCACTAGTTGAGTTATACAAGGGACGGTGGGTGAGCACCGGGTCAAAGATTACCTAGTCAATCTTATGGTTGATGAGAGGTGGTTTGTGCGATGTAAGGATGAGATTGATTGTGGTCGATTGAAGTGAATGGCGCTGTCTATTTTGTCCTAGGGGTATGCTAGACGGAGTGTAATATTGGTTATGACTTTTCCTAGCCGATACCAATACCCAGCCACGCGCTCGCTATGGCAGCTCGTATGATCCGTATCGTATCTTATGCGCATGCCATTTTGGGTTTAACTGGTTCGCAGCTGCCCAATGATATGGCACGTATGGTGGTGATAGTGGACCTCGGGTAGGACTGGCAACTTAATGATTAGAGGTAATCCTAGTGCATGTGGAAACTTACGTTGATACCCAACCAGGTACTGTCCTATATGCGCAGCTGAGCGACTCGATAACTATGCTAAATCTAAGAGGCTCGCACTGCTTTCATTGATTTCTGTGTACTCCATGATAGATGAAATCATATTTGAAGCACGAGAAAGAATCATAAATCACTGTAGTGAGCACGACATTGTCAATGATTCGGAACAATGATACTACGTGCTGTAACCATCCTTGGCATTACACAATTAAGACGGGAACGAACATCTGATACCACAACTGTCAACGTAGAGATTGTAGTCTACAAAAAGGCCATAGACACAACTCGCACAGACCAAGACACAAACATCTAGATTACGGACAGCAGTTCCGGGACAAGTCAAGTGAAGGGCGACGACAACTGAACCTAATCACCAACATATGCAGCACACGTGGCCAAGCATCGAGTAAGACGTTGTATATGCACCAAACGTATCCTCTCCGCACTGTCCGTTCGATTCTTTTCCGACAACTATTCTCTCTCTTCTTCCAGTCTCTATCCCTTTTAGGTCCTCGGTTTTTCGCTAGCATTGCGTATGTCAACGCTTTACATCGATGTTATCACGATATGTGCAAGTGTCTGTCCATAATGACGCTGCTCTAAAACACCAAATCGAAGTTTTTTTTCTGGGCGCTAGGGAACTATCCATCCGGCTCACATGTCTTTGAGACCACGTAGTTTCGTGGCGACGTCCAAGATCCATTGTGGAGCACCTAAACCACACAGTATACCGATGGCTTTGGAGACGTCGATGAAGATCCTGAAAAATTATCACGTCAGTGGCCACTATGCGTGGTAAGATGAACATTGGCACGAACCTTTCAACGACATCTGGGGGCAGGTTGAGGTTAGCGGGCGATGCAAGCTGCTGAAATGTCAAGGCCATGATCGCGACTCTTGTTGCTGGTTTTATGGGTAAGTCGTCGTCCTCCCAGTTCAATAAACCAAGTTGAACCAAATGCCCTACGAATGCATCGAAGGAGGTCCTTGGTATATCGCGCATAAGTTCGGCGATGGTCTGACGAGGCACATGCTCAAATAATTCGTACTGTCCGCGGTCTGACACAGGTATCGGGACTGTCAAAGAAGGCGCAACAGATCCTGGGTTGGGCCGTGATTCATCGCCAGTCTCGAGTTGCGTGAAGGCTTCGATCAATCCAGGTACCTCTAATCTGTCTGATCTGGATTGTGCGACGGTCGAGACATCTTCAGCATCGCTGTCGGCTCCAGTAAGTGGCGGCATATCGGCTATATCAGCCATATGGTCACTTGTCTGCGTCATGGCATCCACCACCTCATGGCTAGCCTGAGAGAGATTACCTCTCGACAAAGAGCCGGGATCACAGTTGGCTGATGATTCTCGTGGACCCGCGGCAAAAATATCCTGCGTGCTGGGTCGAGGACCACTAATGGTGTGTCGACGTTGTCGGGACATCGTGTCAAGAATCGAAAGCTGGATGGGTAAAGATGAACTGAAGCGTGTAATATTAAACGGGCGGGAAAGGACACAATGACTTTCAGGATATCTAATGATCCAGGAATAAGTAATTGCTGGAAATAACTGGCGAGGAGAAAAGAGGAACCTATAAGAATGATTAACCGGATGGGAGATTGAAGTCATGCATGGTCGGCTGGACGTGGAAGGAACATCCCAAGTGCAAAAGCGATTTCGGTCAAAGTTTCCAAAGAGAAAAGGAAAGAGTAAACGCGACTGCCAATGCGGCAACCCTCAAACCAATATTGTCCCCCGATTTCGACAAAGCAAGCCTTCTGGAAAGAGACGGAAACTCAAAGTGTCCAACGTTTTTGCAAACACGATGATGATTCGCGAACGAGAGGTTTCTACATCTGGGTTGAGGCCCGCCTCTCTATTCTGGTTGCCACCGGCCATTCAGCATGACTTCAAGACTTTCGTCAACGAGTTTGTCCACGTATGTTCACAGAAAAACCACTGTGATACGGAATGCCTGACTTCAAATTGTGAACCCTGAGAATGGATGCTAATCACCTGCAACCAACATGAGGTACACGTTGTAGCTAGGTAAATGCTCGATTCGCAACAATCTCAACGCATACTACTACGTACCTTCAGAATTCGAGCCGCCCATTACTCCTAGTTCATTCCTTCCCTCATCCGAGCGGTATTCATAGTCCATCACCCCTGCATGTAGGACATCTGTTGAATATATTTTCCCCCGGAACACACCATACCCATTGTCCTTGTGTGAAAAAGAGAAAAAAAAGCATGTACATGGGAACGTTGTCTGGATTGGATCTTGGCAGGAACACGAATCCCGTTTAATCACTCAGCAGATGGCAATGTACCTTCCAGACCAACGTAGGTATTCAAATATGTATCCCTAGGTAGCGATGCTTAGTTTCGGACTGAACCTTGGGGGCAACCCAAGCTAGGATGGATGTACCGGCCATAATCCCAGCCGAAGACTACTTTATATTACGAGAGTGCTTGCTATACTGGGAATAACTACCGCTGCAATACCGAGATCAGTGCTTTAGTTAGGAGTAATCCATGAATTACCCTCGCACGCGGGGCTGCCTTGGAAAAATTCTGCCAGGCAATAAGTATGATGTGGGTTAGTGAATATTGAGTAGATAGTGCTCTTATCACTGCCACTTACCAGACCAGATGGAACAGCCAATCGAGCGGACAGTGATAACGTCATGAAACTGCGTCGCCCGAAGGAGGCAAGACAAATCGGTCTTGAGAGGAAGTTAAAAAGAAGGCGTCAACGAGCGACTTTTACTTCAGCCTCTTGGTTCAAAGCCACTTCTGGTATATATAACGGCCTCAGCTTTACCTGCCCTTGTTCAAGCTACGACAGTCTTCAGCGAAGTCCAACCTATTTGATATACATTACTCGACAGAAAAGGCAAATGCCATTCACAAGTACTGCCTTCCACTTCAACTTGGATGGTCGAGCGACACTACCAGCTAAAGATGGGTTCAGAGCCACAAAATCCTCTCAAATTCACCGGACATGGTTTGGCGATGCCTTGACGATGCGTGTAGCCTGCGCTTAAGCCTGGGAGATTCCAATTTGGTTTTCTCTTAAAGCCTGCAGCATGGCTTCGGAAGAGGTAGGTACAGCTCCTACGTGTTGACAGCCTGCTTATCTGGGACAGACATTACCTCAGCCCCCTCCGGGGTTTTCAGGTGATTTGACGTAACGCTTCAGGAAATTGGGACGGATTGATTGTTGCGAAGAAACAGTATGGCCGAGGATCCGAGAACTGCTTTTGCCAGGACTTGAGGAGGATGTACGTGGTTGTCGGACATTCTTAACCATGCAGTTCCGAATCCCAGTCTCACAAGGTTATTCGATGTTTGAGGGTTTCAGGACGACTGTAGTGTAGCCGCTTTGACGGATGGCCAACACAGGTAACCTTCTACTCTACCAGCAGTCGAGCTCAATGTTCAACCCGCGGATGCCAGTGGTCAGCGGATTTGTTACTTGCCGCTTTTAACCGATGAACTTGTGACACAAGATGTCCAGCTAAATGGATTCTAGAGAAATCGCGGGGCATCCGATGGTGGTCATGTCCAGTGCTCGGGCCGGTGACAGGCGCCTTGAACAGTGCAGGAACAGTCGGAGAAGCCGACACCTGTCCACAACCGATAGTCAGAATGAAGAACTGATGATAGGGACTTATCAATTTTATAGTCGGATTTATCACCAGCAAGCTTCTTGTTGCCGTAGTTAGTGATGTACTAAAATCGTTGGAGAATGAAGAAGATTCTGGATGACGGGACCTGGCGATGACACCTAGCCGACGATGATGTTGACAGCTCATGTAGACGGGGATACCACAGAGTCGGAAATGATGGGACGTCTCATAAATGTATCCGATGCTGCTTCCCTCGGGCTTCTGCAACTGCCCTGCTAAACTGGATTGGAGTGAAGTAGTGATGACCGGCTTGCGTCTTTCTAACTCCAAGCTCGACGAGAAGGAACAATCGAGACAAAGGATGAATGAAAGAGAAGATGGCAAGTGGAAGTGGGTACTGTACCTGGTACAGAGAACAAGCCCCGCAACTTTATCGTGGTGAGCTCTCATTGGTTATCTCGTCGGTACGTACCGATTTCCGGTTCCCCCCCCCCTCCCCCCCACCCCCCGGATTTTCATGACTGACGGACTATTCGACCTGACATTTGCAGATTCTTGCTGCTCATTACATATTTGTGTAACTGGTCGTTACTGATGGCATCGCACTTGCAATCTCGGCGTTGCGAAATCGCGTCCATCAAGTCTTATCTTGATACTGCGGAAACGTTCCATTCAAGTAGCAGTCGTCAAGTCACGAGACTCTCTAATTTGTGCACATCTGAGCAACAGCAGATTGTCCTGTACAGTGATATCATATTATTTGTTTTTTGAAGACTCTCTCTTTATTTACCATGCTTAGGCCAATTTGGCTGTTGGAAAACGATGAACAACATGACGGTAGAGAGAATTCGCTCTTGCCGGCAATCAGGTGACCGATATCGTCATCGATGTCGTCCCCGGTTTCCAAGACACTATCGCGGTGAATCAGTAACGGCCTACCCTACACTTCATCCCGTGGTGGCTGAGAACGGCCCGGAATACCGGAAGCAAAATACACTATTAATCATAGCCGTTTCCTTCCGGCCAACCGCCCCGGGCTCAACATTTCCACGAGGTGTCCACTAATGCGGCCGATCAATCCCGTATCCGAACCTATCCCTTTGACAGTGAAAGGTTATATTTTCGGTACGCCACGTAAGATACCTAAAGATACCTGGAGGACACGGTGACGTGGCTTGTCAGTTAAGCACTCGGCTCACAACGCTCGTCAGTATCACCAAGGCTAGGACTTTCCGAGGTATCTGCAAGCAAGCTCAGGTTGTATACTGCAGAGAAAAGGGGACATGCGCTTTACTCAAAGGTGCAAAAGAAAAGTTTTCACTATTAAAAGGACGGGATTACCAGAGCCGAATCGATCCCGGAGTGAAGTTGGGGGTGCTAGGTTACTTAGTTCCCGTCAAGAGCCCAGTCGACAGCGCGTGGAGTGGGCCCGGATGCGTCTAGAGCGATCCACAACTTCGTGTTTAGTGCGGTGGATCTTCCAGCCCTTCCCGCTGTCAAAACTGGAGCACTTGCCAGGGTGGACGATGCTACGTACTGTGTACCTGCCAAAGCGACTGGCATTCTGATTTCTCCCTTGGTGCGTCTTCAACGGCGCCATGTCTCATTCGAGCAGCAGAGCTCCACGGTCACGTTATCTCATCTGTTTCTAGACTAGCTGAACCATTCGCAACACTACGCTCCATGACCATTCGTTGTACAGCATCCGGATACCGCTTCTACTCGCTCGTAACAAAAATCCCCAGACCGGGAAGGCCACACCTTGTGCGGGCATCTTGAGCTTGCTCTTAGTTCCATGTGCAGCATCTTGCCAACTGGATTGGCTGAACAACCTTGCATTGTCCACAAAACATTTCTGTACGACCGAGCAGATACGGTTTAGTCGGACCGGGAAACTAAAGAAGGTGGACTGTGGGCTAAACTAGCACGACACAACTGGTCAGAGCGCTTGAAAATAACCACCAACCTTTGTCCTTCGGCCGGGCACTCACCGGTTACGAGTATCACGCAACGATGCCATGACCTAGAGGTAGCCGGCTGGCCGTTAGGAAGTATTGGTCCGACATCATGGCAGCTCGCCAACCGAAGTCTGCAGAACACCGCCCTCATCGAGCCGTCATCCGGCAACGGCGGTTGCATATTACTCCGTGGGCCGAAACTGCTACATATCTCGTGACCCGTCCGCTCTCGGGCTCTTGGCGCTATCCGACGTGGACCCCCGTGCCACCATCCACTGCCGTCCATGAGCCTTTCCCCGTCGCTTCTTGCTACAAGCTAGCAACCATAGGAACCCCGGCTCTGGAACGGGCAAGCCTGATTTGGTGGTCAACCTTGCCACCAAGCAACATATTCGACCTTGTCGTGGAGCTGGCGAGCTGAAGCCTGAGATGGGGCGGGCCAACGTGCTCCGGATCGTTGTTCCTGTTCCGCGCCTAGTTCGCTCGCTGCGCAGCTGAAAGGTTTCCTGCGGTTACACTTGTCTCTGCAATGGAGCGCAAGTGTCCTGTTGCTTGGTGGATCAACAGGAACAAAAAGAAAGAGAGAATTTGGAATCAGCATCGGAAATGGGTTCTAGACTTCTCTAACCTGGTACCCATGGTTGAAAAGACGCGACCATTGTAGCGCTGGAATCGAATCCTGCGAATCAAACTCCAGCAATCGCAGGTCTTCGAGCTAACGGCTATCGGATCGTAACGCTACGATCTCCGCACCCACCTCCACAAATTCTGTAGCGCGACACTGTGCTGCATGGTAGATCTTATACCCTTTAGGCTGCCGTTGAAGAAATTACAGGTACGAGATCTCACAGCTTACAGCCTTGGTTCAGATCGGAATGCGTTGTGTCGCTCTGATAGGCTGTAGCAAGCTTTACTACCGCCGATCCAAATCGACAAGTGATAGATGATACACTGTATTTTGGAATTATCATGTCCAGACATGCACACCCCCCAGATATCTTCAAGATCTAACATGGTAGTGTATTCGCTTGGATCGTGTTCCGAGCATCAGACTAGGGAGACCCCGGGCACCAAATCTTTCCAAAGGACTTTCGTGGTTCATATTGCCCTGGTTCGTGCAATCTCGTAGTATCGCTAATGGCTAACTCTGGTTTAGATACTTTCGCGGATATCGGAAATGCAACAATAACGAGTCTACATCCCCGCAATTGTCGGAGTTGTCCAACCATCTTTTCGCAAAGCGCGGGGCGCTCAGAGTTGCAGCTGGAAAATCGCAGCGGCTCAGCTACACCTCGCTTTTCTTCTTCTTCTTCTTCTTCTTTTTTTTTTTTTTTTTTTTTTTTTTTTTTTTTCAATTTTCTTAGAGGGGGAGGTGATTACATCCGTCCATCCGTCCATAGGCCGTTCCGCAGAACTCATATAAGGAAGACGGATGAGCAGGGAGTTATTCCATACAGTATGAAACTCGACGATTACTTGTCCATGTATTGGGTATACACTGTATTTAGCTTTCGCCCTGTTGATGGAACGCCATGTTTCAAATGTCGTGATTCCCGCACTGAGACATTGAGCAAACGGCCTGCGACCGAAGGGTTCGTGTTCTTCCATGGATCTCTCCACAGGGCGGTCTATAACGAGGAGAAAAATGATGATCAGTTACGGTGAGACAACTCTCGTTAATCCTTGTAGGATCTTCATGCAGTTTACCAGTTTCGCCAGGCTATCAGCCTTGCCGGGCCTAGTACTGCGTGAACGCACAAGTTTGCAACAATTCCCTTCAGAACTTGTCATGTAAGTCCAGTACTCGAGTCTGGCCCATTTCCACCGCTGTACATGATTAGTGAGGACTTCTCATCAAACAGTTCGGCCGCGGCTACCCGAACATTCATGATGGTCATGATGTCTGACATCATTGGATGGCATCAAGACAAGGCTCAGTAGTTTGGGCCTTTTCAGCTTACAGAACAATAAGATAGGTACCTTATTTGATCCGCTTCTCCATATTATTGTCAAGAATTCGCAGTGTGAAGTCATTGTCCTATGCGCCGCATATATTGGCTGGCCAATAGGATATCGCCTAGCCTAAGCCATGCGTCTGGCTCCAGTTTGCCACCAGTTGACCCTGCACAGTAAGGTAGGATCCAGAGGCCCAAAAAGGGGTCCATCATGAATAAGTCCAGCCCATGTACCCAATTGACATGCTTACTGACAGAACTGATTGTATTATCTTTCAGAGTGGTTCTGTACGCCCTCGTGTCACGCCTGACCAGCACGAGATGAGGCTCACTAGATGTAGATACGTCACGACATACATTCCATTGTGAAGATGTCGGACTCCTTTGAAGATTCTCTGTAACTCAAAACTTACCTCTAGAAGCACCTTCATCCACGCTCGTTACATAGGCGTATCGACTGTAAAGGAACCATTTCTAACGGGATGGGGTAGATTCGGGTAGTTATTTCGCTTTTTCTGCGTTAGTTTGTGCACAAATGCTGGTCTTGGACGCGGCAAGGGGTTTTGATCGACAGAGGGTTTTCTGCAAGAAGAACTGTCTACAAGCCGTTCAATATGGAGCCGAGGACCCTGACTCCATCTGGTCTTTGTTCTCAATTCGTACAGCCTTCCCCTGTTCATTTCCTTTCAGCCGCCAGAACCACGTTAGGAAATTACACCTAGGTAGGTAGGAATAGCTGCATGGATCCACAGAAGAGGCATGCCACGTATAGTCATCATGCATTCGGTTAGGTATTTTGGTGAAAGAGTATTTTGAAGTGGTAGCCACCATTTCAACATAGTCCACAAGTTGATGATGTTCCCTTGGTGGTTGGACTTGGTGGATCATGCAAGCTTCACCTACCTTTATTGTCAGGGACCAAACAAGAAAAAGAAACTTCATCAACCATCGGCACTTGGGAATACACTCAACGATTGGACAACGGGGACGACGGGAAGGCGGAAGAGGTGTTAACCGGAGAAAAGACGATGTCACCGACAATTGAATACCAAAAATCAACACCATCTTGACCTCAGTCGAAAGACATAAATACTGGCCTTTCCTCTCCTCAAGTTCAGTCTCATTCTTCTCATCATCATCAGCATCAGCAGCCTCAAAGTTCCAGACATTCTCAGCTCTTCACAACCCTCTCAGCCTCTCGTCTACGAGCAAAGCTTCTTTTCAAACATTCTTCAAGATCTTCAATCACCTATCATCAAAATGAAGGCCGGAATCTTTTTCTCTTTCTTCGCTCTCGCCGCCTCGGCTCTTGCAACTCCCATCGCTGCGGGGAACCAACTCGAGAGCCAGGCTGCTCAGATCGATCAGTTGACCACTCTCGTTCGCCAGCACACCGCGAACATGAGTATGTATTCTCCTCTACTTATCTGCGACTTGACTCTACTTTAGTAGGATGCCTACTGACCACTTCGAAAACAGACGCGACTGCCGCTCAGTACCCTGAAAACCCCACCCTCGCTCAGCAACAAGATGCCGCCGACAAGCTCAAGCCCGACTTTGAGGCCGTCACCAATGCCCTCACGCAAGCCACCACCACCCTCTCCAAGCGCGAGTTCTGGACTGAGCTCACTGCTCGCGGCGGTGCCGGCTTCTGTGACGATGACTGCTTGAAGGTCAAGATCCAGGTTCTCATCCTTGAGATCACCTATACTGTCAAGTTCCTCATTGTCAAGCTCGGTCTCGGTATGTTGTTCTTCCTGCTTCATGTTCACCCTCACCCTCAGGGCAAAGACCTGAAGCTAACATGTTATCAAATAGGCTGCCTCATCCCCCTCCTCACACCTCTCCTCCTTGCTCTCTCTGGTCTGCTCAGGAGTCTCGACAAGGTCGTCGGCGGTGTGCTCGTCCTCGTCGGCGGTCTCCTCCACGCCGTCCTCGGTGGCCTTGCTGGCGGTCTCCTTGGCCTCATTGGCTTCTAAGCGGTTCCTGAGCTTTGTTTCTTTTTCTTTTGGCAAGCAAACGAAAAGAAACATTTACTGTCCTTTGTGGGGCCTGATGGTTTCACATTCTCGCCGTTCTTCACTCTTCCTTGAGTGAATGAACAACAAAAATCGAAGAAAAGATGGTTTGGAGGAGTGAGCGGGGTTGTGAATGACAAACAGACTGCACCTGGTGGAATGATTTGGGCATGATCTTCTTCTTTTCCTGTTCATAGCTTTCTTTCTTTCGAACATAATCAAGTTCTAGCTTTGTTTTCCCCCTTACTTCATGTCTCCAAAGCGAGGAGTTGAGGCAGCTACTAGCCAGTGAATCACTTCGCTTTTTGCTTTGAGTACTTTGTCCATTCTCGGTCTTGGCTGACTGACAGCAATGAGTGACTAACATTTCTCGTCACCGCGGAGTTTTGTGAATAATGGGAATGCGGTACCGGAAAATCGGCAGTCAATGTGCCTTTCATTTGAGGCTTCGGATACCATCAATTTGCCGGCCCTCATCGGTCCTTACTAAGTGAGTATCGGAAAAGTGAAAAGCTTGTTCGCACAGTTTTCAAATTGTATCGTCATCAAGTTGAACGGCGTGATGTGACGGATCTTGCGTTTTGTGCTGATCTTGCATTGGTGCAATGGTAATGACGATCATTTGAGTGGGAGTCAGGCTGATGATTGGCCAACGAAACCGGGAGGCTGCTCTCCAAGTCCCTTCAACGTTGTACTTGCCCTCTTCCTTTGGGCCGTTGGGCATCTTGGCAAGACCTCAATTTGGAAACCAGTTTCCTGAGGTCTTCCATTTTTGTTCTAAATGGAGAAAATTTTAGTCCCAGCAGGGCTGTTAGCGAGTGTTCCACAACGCATATTGAGTGGCCAAATTTGCTGAGCTGTTCAAGCCTAGGAGCAGCCAAAAGCACTTCCTTGATGTTTGCCGGTAAGCCGGCAAGCCGACTGGACTGAAGAGCCAAAACAGTCTGGCAAAAGGGAAGAAAATAAACCTGGGATCCAAGGCAAGAAAGTATATCCCCCGGGCCTGGAAGAGGCCAGGTTCCGATCTTTCTTCCATATCGGACCAATGAGGCGGATCAAACCTAGCATCCTCTCTAGACAATAAACTGCACAACATCATGTTTGGCGGGCACATCTTGCAAAGATGGTTGGCAAGAACAAGCGAAGACCAATGTTGCTACTCCACTTATAGGAAGGAAAACCCTTGTTCATGCAGGGATGGAGGACACCCACCGGGCCACTGGTGGGAAGGAGTTGACGACGGCGAGGAAGGTCAACACTCAGCGGACACTGAGGACTGAGACTTTTCCGGGTGACGGGAACTGGAGAGGAGTATGCAACACCAAGATTATGGATCTTGATCATGACTTCTATGGCTGGTAGATTGTTGATTTGTGGGATACTGGTAGTTGTTGACATGAAGAATACATTGAGGGGCAAGCCCTCGTTTCTTCAAACTTTCCCATCCGACCAAAAGACCACACAATTCCATGATCGGAACTGCCAAAGATACGGGAGCAAAGAAAACATGCATTTCTATTCAATCTGCAGTAGGCAAGTACAGTGCTTGTACTCTGTGGGCGAGGAGTGCCTCAACTCGGGCACGACTCAATGACGAAGCTGTCTGTGGAGGAATCAGTCGGCAAGATATTGACGGATAGCAACGCGATAGGCCAAGCAAGGCACTTACCATTTCTTTCCTACTTTTGCTTACTCTTGCTCATCGTTTAGATGGAAGGAGATACGTCAAAGCACGAAATGGAGGCCGTCAGGTGTAGATGACTGAGACTTCAAGAACCGATTGTACCCGGGTTGCAACTTCCAAATCTCTACACTTTGGGTTGAGACTTGCCCCAGTGAGGTCACAAACTGTAAGTCAGCACTGCATGTGACCTGGTTGTTCCACTTGGAAGGAGAGTTTGTCAGGTCTGCACTTGCCCTCGTCTTCAAGGCTCAAAAGTTTGTTGCACTTGCCGCGATGACTCCTGTCTGCTGGTCTTTTTTGCACTCTTCATTTTTTCCAACTTCCTTGCGATGCTTTGGCGGGTAGTGCTGTCGCCACCATTGAGAATAAGACTGCCAACAGGTCGACCGTGAACAAACTTTCTGTTTCCAGCATCGTGGCGCGGCAGTCCAAGGCTTGCAGACATGAAGGGCACATGCCGCGTGGCTGTGTGGCTGTGGTGTGCACGAGGTGAACCCAGAATGACCTCGGATGGGGGTTGATAAGTGACCACAAGTCAACAGATATTCAACACAGACAAGTGGCAGCGTGGTCGAGCGGTGTGGTGTGCTGAGCTCTCATTGCACTTGTGTACAGAGGGTTGTGCACCACATGCCTTGGAGCCCCCGCCCCCGAGGGGACGCCGATGACTCCCCCGCGACCGCCTACGACCGCCCACGACCGCTACAAACGTAGCCTGAGGTCCCCTAACGGCGGGGGGAACTCCAGGGAAGTACTTCTTGAGATGGCGTCTTCCGGCTATGCAAAATAGGGCTCTTCTACTCCCTTCCATCTCACGTACGTCAGCCGTTCGATCCCTGCTCTTGTCACTTAATTTTTTGCAACTTTTTTGCACTTTTTGGTTCTGGGGCGAAGCAAACAGCCGCCATGCTTTCTTTTGCATGCATCATGAGATGAAGAAACGTTAACGATAATGAAGCTATCATGAGATCTTGGCATCGCTTAGCGTATAATTTTATGTCATGACTACCCTGGTTCGTCGTTGAAGTGTGGATGCATCGTGGACAACGACCATCCTTGCTCGTCCCCTGGCCCTTTCTTTCTCCCAAGCCTATCGCAACGTCACTTCCTTCAGCCATCACGTTCGCAGTGCAGGCGTCCTCACCGGACAAGGATTGGGACCCTGCAGCAAACGAAAGAAATATGTCCGTATGCTTCGACAACGATCGCTGGTCAAGTTCAATCCGTCTGTCCTGAAAGCTATAAAATGCAGCCCGGGCATGACTCCCGTATCTATGGCTCATCAATATCTTCAAGCATCCATTCTTCGGTGCGATAGGAGCTGCGATGGAAACTGGCCAATGACCAGTCTCGCGAAAAGCATAGCAGCGGTTAGCAGCATCGCGTCGGTCTTTGCAACCTATACCAGCCGTCCCATTCTGCAGCCTGTAATTCATACTGAACGCGCTTGTTTCTTGCGATCCGAGAACGTCGCACTCTTGGTATATCAATGACCGACGGATTAGGCGCCCCGAACGGCGATGATGTTGGTGTTGATGTTAAACGATGGACTGAAAATTCACAAACAAGTAGAAAATGACGGCTACCTACTTGATTAAGGTTACCAATGTGCTACTGGTATGAGGTTGAGATCATGCAGTCTTGATTACTGGTACAAATTCTCGTGACCGCATCCGAAACTTTCTTAAACGAACGAACGAACGAACGAACGAACGGAGAACGCCACATTTGGAGCAAACGCAGCCATCGCGTCGTGGCTCACGATCACGTATCGCTCCTGCCCTCATCTCCAAACATGAGCCACGCAAAAATAAAAAATTTAAAAGATTGGAGGGACAAATATCTATCTAGGCAAGAACCACCGTGACTTTGCATCGACGCCCTCAATCTTTCAGTACCTAACGAAGCACCATCGTGATCTCAATTGCAGACACCCACCCACTAATCTCTGAAGCAACAAGAGAATACCGTAGGAATTCCGACAAGCATCCGCCCGTCGAGATTTCGAATCACCCTTCGGGAGGACTCCCAGACCATCTTCCCGGCAGTAGCGACTCACCTCCAACCGTACGGCACTAGAGACAACTGGGCCACCCGATATCATCATCCTGGGCGACATTAAGATGTCGCAACCCCGAAGAAACACCCCCATAATCCCCGTTTTCCTTCCCACAATCACCATCAGCGCCCCAACGTCAAACAGTTCCTCCGGGTCAAGCTCGTCTGGTTCGGGATCGACTTCGAGCTTCAGCGCTAGTGGAAGCAGCACTGGAAGTAGTGGGAAGAAGTAGCTGAGGGAAGAGGGGGGGGACAAAGGATGGATAGAAGAGGAATGGAGATTGTAGAAAAGTCTTAATCAGGGAGTAATGAGGGATTGCATTGCTGTAGGGACAGGTGGAATGGAAAACGAGGGGAAGCAGTCGATGGCTGTTCTACGTCCTGGGACGTTTTAGAGGGAAATGGGTAATACGTGAGGGTTGATGTGAGCTGCGAGGGAGAAAAAAAAGTATAGGAAGGGGTAAATTCAAGACTTTGACAAAAGAAGAAAAAAAAGACCTAGAGGTGCGAGGAAGAGGAGAGTTCAGTGATGTATGGATATAGAGAGAAAGCTGTTGGTTTGGAAGTCGATAAGGAGGAATCTGAGTAAGTACAATAGCTGCGTGGATACAAACCATCACGCTAGCATACAAAACAAAGACTCACCGAAAGGAAATACTTAACTTCCATAGTATCCCCTCCAACAGCCTGGACATCTCTCAAGACCATGCCCTCCTTTCTTGGTCTCGCAAAAAGGGAGTGTCATTTAAGCCCGTACCTCTCTCTACCTACCAAGCACCACTTCATGACACTGACCAGACCACCCCAGCTTCTGCCTGGCCGGCGACCTCTCTTAGACAATGATTTCCCTTCCATGCCCAGCCCTGGATCACAGCTCTTGAACTGTTAAACCTGTAAGCCCCTGACTGACTTTCTAATTGCCCAGTGTCTACCTGCCTGCCTGGTGGGCGGTGGCTGGTGCCGGTTATGGTACCCCTGAACCCCCCTGAATGTTCTCCCCCCCCCATCGTTTAGACTATTTCGTTGACGTACCTACATACACTATGTATGTACGTGCCGGCGCATCCCCAACAAAAGAGCAAGGATCCACAAAAGTATCTCAAAATGGAACGATGGATGAAAAAAACAAGATTCCGTAGATCAACGGCATTCGAGAACCGAGAGAGAGCCCCATTTTCTCCTTTTTTTTTTTGTTTTTCCTTTCTTTCCATGAGGTGGTGATGATCGTCGTCGTTCGTCATCATCGTCGTCGAACACAGGGGCACACAGTACTGTAGGTGCGTATGTACATGCACATCAAGGCTTAAGAAACTGTTAGTGCGGGACGCATCCCTCCGTTTTCTTACAAGGGAATGACAGGGGATTTGCAAGGCAGGCTACGACTATTTCCGCGATATGATTGGCTGAATTCACCGAAGTTTGTTAACAAGGAGTCAACAGAAAAGATCTGAACAGCCGCACACACAAATTTCCTTTTCCCGGCCTAGGCAAAATCGCCAGAACCACCCAGAGCTTCCATAGTTGAGAACCTCTGTGAGTAAGTACCGAGCTAACAGAGCTGAAGGAGATTGATGTACAGGGAGCGTAAGCGATAGATCAGCCCCCCCCCCCCCCCCCCCTTTTTTGTGCCTTGGAAAATACCCCTGTACATTGTGCACTAACAGGATTACACTAAACAATCAGGGTAAACGAGGTAAGGTACAGGGGTCCAACCGTTGTCGTCGTTCGGTCCAACCGATTCAATCAAAACAATGAAACGACACGATGGAAAAAAGGAAAACGTGCCTGCCACGTGCTAATGTGCCATTGAGTTGTGCCGCGTTGCCGGTTTACCGGTTTGTGCCTGGTTTTGCCGGTTTGTACGGTTGAACGTGAAGTTGAGGAGAGCGGAGTGACCGATTATTCTGTCGAATAACCCTTGGTGTCTTCTGTTCGTGTATTATTACCTTGGTGAATCGTGTGATGGAAGGGTGACACGAAGCTGCCGGTGTCTGAGGCCAGCTACGCAGCTACACGTAGTGTGGACCTAGCTTTCTAGGTGACAACGATCAGGAGGATGACGGGTCGGTGCAATGAATCGGGAGAACATCAGTGAGGTGTGACAATGCTGTCCTTCGGAGCTCACCGCGCGAGGTATGCAACAGCTGTATACATCATTCTGTGAGGCGTTGGAAGACCAGCCAAGCCAGCATGTAAATGTGTAACAAAGGTGCATGGTTCCAGTGGTGCCTCTGATGGAAGAGAAAAAAGAATGCCAGTGTTCACTAGAAGGTATAGTGTAGAAGGCCAGTATCAATCCTGCAGATAGAGTGTTTGCAAATAAGCGAATCCCTTCCAATTTCATGCAGTGATTAGATCATTAAGACAATAACGAAACATTTGTCGCTAAGTTCCCGTCGTTAAAGGCTAGGTCTTGGCTGTTGTTTCCAACTAGGCCTGTCCTTCAACCCCACTCTCAGTGTGTCCTGTCTTCCTGACGCTTCTCTCAGTAGGGTTGATGCGGTTTTCCTTTGCAAATCCAGCCCAATATACTCCAGCAAGCAAATTATCGTTATGATCATCCCTATGCTCTTTCCTCCAATAATAATCCGTAAACATTTGTAAACTCCGTATAAAATGCTGCCAAAAAAAAAAAAAAAAAAAAAAAAAAAAAAAAAAAAAAAAAAAAAAAAAAAAAAAAAAAAAAAAAAAAAAAGAGTACAAATTCTCCATGATGTGATGCACAAAAAAAACAAAGTTGAGGGGGTCGATCCGAACTATCGACGTCGGCCAGCATGTCGATAAAAATGCTTGAAAGTTACATGAAGCCAAATTAAGGGTATAATACGCCTGTTGGTGGATGATAGTCGCCGAATCGATGCTGAAAAGTGCTGCTGATAACGCCCGCTTTGACCGATAAATGCAAATGCGCCACTTCTTTCGTGTATGTGTGTGCTCCATGTCGATATCTCGACCGTAGGAAGGCGAAGTTGTTGAGGCACAGGCAGAAATGTTCATCGCCTGAATATGCTGAGCCACCAACTCTTGCGTCTCCGATCACTACGATCATCAGTTTTCTCTGCGTCGTCCTCCTCAAGGTCCAGACGGTACCGCACCACGCTGCCTCGGTCGTCCTCAAATCCAACATGCCTCTTGCTGGGAGGCACTACGCATTCTGGCACAATGTGACGCATGAACCATCCGCGCACGCCCCGGCTGGCAGCATCGATAGCCGCATATTCCATCCTCCTGGTAGAGTCGCTGGTCCAATAGTGTGTTGTCTGCGGTGGTAGGGGATGAACATGTGTCTGCGCGGACTCGTCCTCATTCACCTCGGCCTCGTCGATGGCATATTCGGGGTTCGAGGTGGTGAAGACAGGGAACTCAAAGTACGTCACTGGCTGCTGAGACTGGGTTGGACGACACTGGTAAGACCGACGATGTGAGACGGTCTTGCCAGCTTTCTTGCTCGAGCGAGTGCCGGGGTTTGTGTCGGTTGAGGATCGTTGGACGGCTGGTCTTGAGCGCCGCTTGGCTGAAGTGGAAGGCGCCGAGAGGGTAGATGATAGGTGGCACGACGAGCGAGATTCTTTGCGTTGAATAGATGCGTAGCCGGAATCTTGGCGACGCATTTCCTGGATGGGCGGTGGAGGACGGTCCTCACTAAGAGTTTTTGAGAGAGGAGCATGGCAGACGATGGTGGTTTGTTGCGAGGTGACTTCGGATTCATGAGATTCGATGTCGTTGAAGCTATGATATGTCTGGTTGGATACCATGCTCACACGGGAGTGCGGGCGGTCACAGGACAGCTGAGTAGCCATGGTGTGTATAGATGCTAATGTGTGACCTCTGTTGGAGCATAAAGCAGGCCGGGAACCCTCGAAGAGGTCCGGAGGCCACCCACGATAAATAAACAACGGCGCTGGAGCCGGACGGGGGTGGATGGGCCCTTTTTCTTAAAGCTTCGATCGTTGGCAGGGATTCCTAGAGGTATATTTGTCGGACTTGGGAAAGGGCACTTGTAGCACTTATGAGCCAAAAAGTTGCGGTCAGCGATCGCGTGTTGGTCTGGGCCTTGTCTTGGATCCAGGAAGACAAGACGCCGGCGTATATTTGGGGCAGGATGACCGAAATCACCAGCAAAACCCCGGAAGCGTTCGTAGCAGGGAAGCCTGGGGATGGGCGAATGAGCTTGCTGAATTGGAAGAGGGAGCCACTTGTGACAACAAGGCCAATGGTCCCATTGGCAGAAAGGGGCAGCGTGTGAACAGGAAGGTCTGCCGGGGAAGCGCGTTAGCGGGATGCAGCCGACCCTGGACTGCAGCAGAAAAGCAACCTCTCTTGGGGACCCCAGTTTGAAGTAGCCAAGACGAAAAGAAATTAATTCGAGAAGGCGGCTGGAAATTTTTCTCTTGTAAAGCTGGGGGAGCACTGATCGAGGTTCGGCCCGTCCAAGCGGATGGTCCTCCGGGCTCCAAAAAGGTAAAAAGGAAGGCTCCGTCGACGTAACGGCTGGCGGTTCTAGCGGTTCTATCTATCCTAGGTAGCGGTTAGAGATGAGATTACCTACGAGGGGCCGGGAGCTGTTGGTGATTGTGTATCGGTCAATGTCCACTTTGCTTATCGGTTCGTCAACGTTCTGCTGATCGGGAACGACAGTCAGTCAGTGATGGTGACGTTGTGGGCGAAGTCCACCAGTTCCATCCGGTGACCGAGGCGCGAATCGCAGCTTGGACGATTTGGGTATCGCGGGTACATCTGTTGAGCAACAGTCCACGATGGGATTGGATCCCAAGAGGCGGTCAGGCCGCAGAGAGACAGGGCCTTGGGCGTTGTCTCGACAGGGAGTCGGACAAGCCCGGGTCGGTCGGTCGGACAGGGCCTTTTCTTAGGTCTTGAAAGTGAGTTGCAATGCCCGTTGCAATGCACGTCGAGTGCCGGGAGCGGAGAGCGGGGCGGCCGGTGGAGCTCGTGAACGGAGCCGGAGGTCCAATGGCCGCTGTGATTTGTCCACTCGTCCGTAGAGCTATCTGCTCACTCGATCGAACTGCTGCAGTACCCCTCGATGCTGCAAGAGAACTGCAAAGAACTGCAAGGGCGCTGACCTCGGGGGAAAAAAAAAATGATTGCAAAAATTTTCGTGGATGTTTGTGAGTCAGAGCGTGGGGTTGAAATTATCCAACTCTGCTGCACGTCGCCAATAAAATAAAGATAGCTGTTTCGATTATGCAGAGAAAAGAGGCTGGGGAAACGGAAAATCTTTGACATCAACGTTAGGGAGCGGTTAATGGAAAAGGAAAAGACTGAGAGTGTGGGGAATTGCCACGAGTTCGCCGTTTATCACGTTGTCCAGCAATGTGAGCAATGGTGCAATGGGAAGGGCGCCGTTAGCGGTGAACTCGAGTGAACTCGTGAGAGCGGGTGGATGGTGGGCTGTCTGCTCTTCTAAAATGGAAATATTGACTCTTGGAAAACTTCTCAGCGTCACAGACCAAGGCGGGTTAGGTAGCAGCCAAGACGCATGGGAAATGTCTGTGATATTGCGCCATCCGATGTCGCTGGCTTTTGTTCATTTGAATTTTCGTGGGTGCCAGTGATTGCACCTGCATCGTTTGAGACTATATGCAGTGACCACTGACCACTGTGGTGTGTAGCAGGGGCGGCCCGTGAGTCCGTCTTGTTTATCTCACACAGAAAAAGAGGTTGAAGGATGAAGCGTCAGGACGGGGTGGACGGGGTGGACGGGCTGGTGATGCCATCATTGGGAACGCAAACAGGGCCCGGAGCTTCAGCGCTACCACGGTCGTCGCCGGGAATCGCTGTCAGATGCAAATCGAGAGAGATGGATGCCCTGTCATTATCTCGAAGTAATAATGGCATTTCATATGATGGACGTTGCACATCTCAAATGCCGACCCGAGCGACGTCGCGAAGCAACCTTTTCACGTGAAGTGACCCTGCTGGCATTCCCGTATCCATCACGGAAACTGGCATGGAAGTTTGTCATGGTGTGACTTGGTGTACCTTGATGGTGATGACTTTCACATGTCGGATTGTGCCGAATGTCGCACTTCAGCAGGTTGGGGGGTACCTAGTGTGGTTGTTGTCTCTCGAGGTTGCACAGCCAGTCTGAGGGGAAGCACGGGAGTCAAGGAGTTGAGTGCCCGAGGAGTCCAGGTCCAGGCGGGCTGAAAAGAGGATGGAATGGATTCCCTTCAACGTCACGAGCTCAAGTGGCACGACCGGGCAAGTGCCCGCCCTGCTCTGCACCTCGAGTCTGTGAGTTGTCGGTGTCTCACAACTGCCCAAAGCTGATCTGCTGTTTCAATCACGACAGATCCTCAAAGTCGTTGTCCAGGAGGTTCGGCAAGCGCACACGCGTTTTCATGAAGAAATGCTTCTCTCCAGTCAAAGTTCACTGACTGTCAGTGTGTCGTGACTGCCCCTGCAGAGTCCGAGCCTGCTGTGCCTGCCGTCCCTTTTGCCTAAGCAACCAATCAGAGACCGGAAGTTCTTCCGGCTCGCTTACCCGGTTCATCCAATCACCGTGAGGCATGTGACAAGTTTGGGTACAGTAATGTGCCCTGTAAATGCAAGTGGGGCGGGCATGCCATTTTCCTTGCATTTATTGGGTCCTTGCATTTACTAGTACCTACACTTTGGCTTGTAATAGCTAGTGAGAGCTTTGATAAGGGGTTTTAATAGCCAATAACAGCCCCAATATAGGTAACAGGGGTGCTATATAGGGATGGTTTATTTCTGAAATTTTAGGACTTTTTCAGAAATTTTCAGAAATCCTAAATTTCTGAAAATTGCGCTAATGAAATTGATCCGTACACACTCAACCCATACAACCCACCTTTTCAATATTCATAAACTTCATTAATATTCAACTAAACTATACGAAACCGATCACGATCGACTCGTATAAGCGTATAGAATCCCCTTACGATGCCTCTTGTTCGAAACCAGGCGATTTATTACCAATTTCATTTCCGTATACGCTTTAATAGCGGCGCTCCCTAGGCTAACTGCCGCTACTGCAACTAGAGTTAAGTATAAAACGTTACCTATATACGCGAGTATTTCGATTACTATAATAATTACTAACGCTAGTAAATTAATAATTTCATTTAAAATAATAAGGATATCCGCCAGTATACCCTTATCTTGTTACTTAAGTAAGTAGAAAAGATTAATCTCCTTACCGCTAAAGTAATTCTTTATAAGGGTAAACTATTCAATACCTTTAATAGCGCTGCGATAAAAAATTTTATTTAAGTAATCAACCTAGTATATACCCTTCCTTTATACAAAACGATTTTAAATATCTACTTTCCCTTAATTTATTAAGAGGTTAAACTAACTGTCAATAACCAGATTGCCTGCTATAATTAATTAAGTATTATTTTCGATAAATCTAACAATTATATTGGCCGTCGTATTCTCAATATTTCAATTTATTTACCTAATAAAGTCTCATTTTACTAAAAGAATATTTATATTAGCGCTACCGAACATACTGCTAATAATATTACTACCCTCGTCTTCGCGGAAGTTAGCAATATTATTTAGAACCGCTTTAGTAAAATTACTAGCTTTGTAATAAATATATACAGTAGAGCTCGTCTGGCTAATACTCTACTTACTAAAAAGAATGAATTAAAGTATACCATTCTAGTACTTTATAATTCTTATAGTCTCTAGCTATTTATTAAAAATATATTAGCGATAGAGCCGTTTAAATCTATTCTCCTCTCTATAACTTAGTTGGTTACTTTCTTTAAAAGCTCGAAGTTATAGCTTTCGAGACTTCGTATATATATAATATAAGAGCTTTATAAATACATTTCAATCCTTACTTCGTATATTTATTTCCCTTATCCCTAGTAAATTATATATAAAGAAAGAAGTTAATATATTACTAGTTTAATTACTCGATAGGGTTTACAGTATAGATCTATCTTATTAATCTAGAAATCGAAATATACCCTTATTGCATTCGTTCGTAATATACGTAACAATATTTACTATAATAACCCGAATGAAGGCAACGTTGGCGATCCTATCCGATTTAATACTATATTTAAGATTATTGAGAATGTTATTTTCTGGGGTGCTCTTAATAATTTCCAACGGTTTATCTAACCAATTTACGAAGCTCAAATAATATTAGAATTTAATAAATCTATTGTAGGTAAGGTTATCCCGCAATAGATTAAAATCTAGGATTTTTAGTAACCTTATAACCTTCCTTAAAATATAATGCCACATTACTAGGCTCAATTAGTTATTATTTATACTACAAGAAGGAATAAATAGATTACTACTATTAACTAACTTACCTTCTTTCTCAACCCTAATAATTTAGCAATTAGAGTTAAAGATATTTAGCCCGCTATACTAGCCGATATTAATAACTAGATCTATACCTTTTTGAATTAGTATAGTACTATAATTAGTATTAAGGGTAATCTATTAATTAAGGAGTTTATACTTTATATAGTTAAAGATAGTATTTTTGTACTATATATAGAAGTTTGGCAGTATAACCTTCAACCCATTACCTTCTAGAATTACTATTGTAATTATAGTTTATAATTTTATTTACTAGTTAATCGATTACTTTAAGCGCCCGCTAATAATTTGGGGTGGTACATGGGAACATATATATTGGTTTTCAGTAGTGATTTCTTTTCAAAAATTTTCAAAGTATATAGGATTAGGAAAGTACTTTCTAGATTGAGCAAACCTGGATAGTTAGTGTGGAAAAAGAATGGAAAAAGAAGGAGATCGAACATGAGGAAACAGGATGGGAGATCAAAAAAAAAATATCAAACTTTCGTTAAACAAAATAATTAGTTTCTAATTCTTTAGTAATTCTTAATTATATAAAATTAGTTTTTAATAGTTGCTAATTATTTATTTTTATTTATTTAGTATATTGAATAATCCTTTATCCTTTTTAGGGAAATGTTTATTTGTATCCCTATTTATATCCGAAAAGAAAAATATGGAAAGATCCGATAATTACCCTCGTTTTCCAACGAAAATTGAATATTAAACTATTTAATAAATGTATAACTCTAATAAATTGTATGTAACTTAATACTTCCCATTTCGATTATCCGAAAAAATTTAAAAATTATTTACTATTTTACTTAATTAGATAATTAAGAACTATAGTCCTTATATATCGTACTAGTCGTAGTAGTATTAATATTATTATTATAGTTTTCTTACTATTTTAAATTAGTAATAAGGACGAGATAGGTATTAAAACTCTATACTAAATTAGTTAAAACGAATATAGGGAATTTACAATTTCCTATCCTTATTAAGGTTTACCCGATATTTATTAACAATATTTAATTAGTCGTTACAAAAAGGCTTGAATAGCCTTATTTTAGAAAAGAATAAAGATCCTTAATATTGGATGTTTACTACAGTCTAGGGCCTTCGATAATAGCCGATATACAACTATATTAATAGTTATACTACGATTAGCAATAATATAATTGATTAGTAATTACCCGACTATTGTTCGGATATAACGTCGGAGTATAAATAATAGTATAATTGATTAATAAGAAAGATATATAAACGAATATTTAAACGATAATAATTAAATGTAAATAAATATAAACAATAGATAAACTACTAAATAGTAGTAATTTAATTATATAATCTAATAAATGAACGAATATTTAACTAATAGTATTTAAATAATAATAAGAATAGACGATTAATAGGTTATTTAAACGGTAGTTTAATTGAAAGACTATTTAAAAATAATAAATAATAAAAGAATCCGTTAATAATTAGAATAAATATTAGTATTAGGCTTTTAGAGACCGCTATCCTTAAATTAGTAGTATATAGCCCTTACTTAAGTATAGAAAAATTAGACAGCCCCTAGACCCTTTTCTTCGAAAATTTATAATTAATTTCCTAAAAGGAAGGGTATTAATTATTATCTCCGAATTCTTCCTTCGTAGAATATATTAACTATTACTATTAATAGACTTTTAGAATTGTAATTATTACCGTTATTACGTTTTAGAAAACCGAAAAGAGGTAATTAATTGCTATAAATCCTTATTAAAAAGGCTTTAATAATAATATTATTAATATAAATAGGAATTACCTTTTATTAATACTAATAATAGAAGTAGTAAAAAGGAAAAGAATAGAGAATAAGAACCGAAGAAATTCCTTTTATTTAAAAAAAGAAAGAAAAAAGAAATATTAGAAAGATAAGAAGAAGAACGCCGATAAGAGATCTCTAATTAGAAAAGGTATATAAATATTTTACTAGAAGAGAAATAGTTAAAAAAGGAATAAAGATTTTTAATCGAGAAAAAAAAAAAAAAGGGGGTAGGACAAAAGATAAAACGAAGATAAGTA